CTTGTATACACCAGCCGCTTCCCTCGATCTGTACTAACAACAAGACTAACAGACAACTACAGACTTGTATACACCAGTCGCTTCCCTCGATCTGTATACTAACAACAAGACTAACAGACAACTACAGACTTGCATACACCAGCCGCTTCCCTCAAACAGTACTTACAACAAGACTAACAGACATCTATAGACTTGTATACACCAGCCGCTTCCCTCGATCTACACTAACAACAATACTGAAGGGAACGGCTTACTACTACGTTGTACGTTATGTATGACGATTTCGATTTTACGATCTCCAACTTTCAATTTTCTTGAAAACAACATCCGAAGTTTCCCTACAGGTTTTCATGCTACAGTTACGCTCATTAGCGCGCCTTGTGGTTTCGCTTTACTGCCTCGGTTCTCTCGTAGAGGACGATTTGCATGGCGTGTGTCGTCGATAAAGCAGAAAACACTAATCCTTCCTGAGCACCTGGTCTTTTTTCCCTAAACGCCAATACTCCGAGCTTGAATTACGGGTTTGTTTAAACTTCAGTATGCTTCAAATATGTTTTTATCAAAATTTAATCGAGGACATTAACAAGTTATTAAATGGTTTTCATCAAATCGATATTATATGTTCTCAAAGCAATCGTATGGCGGGGAACTCACAAAATAGAGTACGGTTTTCAATTTTGTCGTTTGTCTTATATTTTATTGCTATTTTCACATACTGCATTTTACACACATAAACTGGTTGTCTAGAGGTCGCCAGATTATCCCTCCAGAGCTGGCATCACTAACTTTGCTGATGTAGATATCCTTTTTACTAAAGCTCACGACTCACAGGGTAATTTCATTGTCATTTGCTGCGTTGATACACACAGCTTCTGGTGTTGTCTTACTGAGCTACCTGCGATAACCTAGTCCTATCGGCTGATCTCGCATGTATTGTAGTAGGTAAACAAAAGTAGATGTAGTAAGTTGCGTTCTGACATAGATGATAAGGAAGAGTGACACGCCAGACGATAATCCCGGTCGTTGGCTACTAAGGATTATGTATGATGTCGTATTAGCTGGTTAACAACAAAGCGAGCCTCATAGCAACCCACCTGCATCCCTTGGCATTAACTTCCCAGGTTATACCCAAATGTTTTATGCTAGACCATTTTGTACAATTTTGTTGTTGTTGATCTTTGTCTATAAACTTATTTAGCGGGGAAAATGGCTTGCATCCAGCAAGTTAAAGGCTTACTATTTAAATACGATTCGTGCACAAACGAGACATATTTTCTATAACGTTGCTCGAAGCATGGCCACAGAAGCATCAATTGGTCAGTTTTGTGGGCCTGACTGACAATGAACTCGAAACGTCTGTATTAGATGATGAAGTTATTACATTTTTTATTATTTTATTATCCAGATTCTTCGAGCGTTTCCCCGCCTATAAGGAGAATTTCTCGGATATTAAAGATTTGCAGACGGACGATGCTATGCGTGAAAGCCTCGAATTTGAGACGAGGGCGGTCGACATTTTCCAAATGTTTGATGACGTCATCGCTAACCTAGAAAGTGTTGATATAGGATTAGAAGAGATCCATCGGGTTGCTGCATCAGGTTCCATGACAGTTGTTATGGTCAAGGTATGCTTAAGAAATGATTAACTTATCACTTCTCTACAGCACATTTCATGGTTAATGGCGGCAAAATTTGATTGTCAGGCGGACAATGATAGGTATTTAGGGAAACTAGAAAATCATTTCTCTTCTTCCTTAATGTTTGTTTTGTAATAGAAGTAAAACGTTCATGTCTTTATCACATAATCGGGGTTTTTCTTGCTTTGTTTATTCCCCATTTAAACTAACTTAGTATTACGTCTAAAACTGATTTTGAGTACTAGTTTGATGTATAAGGAAGTAACGCCAGTATGGTGTAATGTTTTGACAGGATATGAAGTCAACCTTTATGGAGACATTGCGTCACAACCTGAGCGACAGACTGACAGACACAACCTCGGAAAACTTCAACATGTTGTATGACTTCATAGTGGCTGAAATGGAAAAGGCGTGTTGATACAGGCTTAAGTAGCGGTGCAACTATCCCCGCTTGTTAGTTTTGACCAAAGCGACCTAAGCGTCAAAGCTGCTTTACTGAAAACAGCGACGGAGAGAAATACATACTAGTAATTAGACAGGTAAAAAAACAACGACCTTCTCGTACCAGGTTAGAATGCGACCTTCTCGCGCCAGTTAGCTAATTGCTTCAATATTTTCAACTTCGTAAGTAGTTCCCAACTTATTGCTCAACAAATGTACACGTTATTAGTGGTTCTTAAATCATGTAAATGTGTGATTATGTAAATGTGTAAGTCGTTCAGGTTGGTTTGTAAACAGAAAGATTTGTCTGTATATAAATGAATTCGCATTTACAAAATCATGGTTATCTGTTAACTTTATATGTACACATTTTAACGGTGGTCTTATTTAAGCGCCTTTAATATCCTATAGGTCGCTAATATTTGAGTGTGCTAAAACGAGTACCCCTACGGTATATGAAGTTGGGGTTTACTTTATATACAGTCATGGTTTTGTAAACATAAAATTGTAAATCTCAAGTAAAACATATGTAAGTAAATGGTTTCGTATATATAAAGAAATGGTATTAGACTGCTTTCTCTATATTGCTGTGTGAATTGTCGACAATTTGATGACATTTTATTTCTATAACGTGATATCATACATGTCATTTATTTAGTTCAAGCCATTTACGAGGATGATAAAAGATTGAATGAACACGAATAAATTGCTACATAAAAAAAAAAAAATTGTTGGAGCTCGAATCTCATTGCAAGAGAAAATAAAAAGTATGAGAAACCAATCCTCACAGACGATTTTTTTTCTGGGTTTATACTCAATTTTCTACAAGTGCACAGCCGGTTTGACATTAAAAAACCAAACACGAGGAAAACCCAATCTGGTCTCAGTGTGTGTTATAAAATGTGTCCTGCGCGCAATTATGGGATGGAGATATTGATGTGTATTTGTGTTTAAAGACATATGCAGATAATCGATTTTAAAGTTTGCTCACTTTGAAATACTTAAAAATCATTATATTACATGTCTAAATATTGACTGTGTCTTTCTTCGGCTGCCAGTCTTTGTCTTCTAATGCAGACATTCGTTGGAAAACGTTCACCTTTATAGCAAAGTATTGTATCGAGTTAATAAAACGTTCACCTTTATAGCAAAGCACTGTATCGAGTTAATAAGACGTTGACCTTTATAGCAAAGCACTGTATCGAGTTAATAAAACGTTGACCTTTAGAGCAAAGTATTGTATCGAGTTAATAAAACGTTCACTTCTATAGCAAAGTATTGTATCGAGTTAATAAAACGTTGACCTTTAGAGCAAAGTATTGTATCGAGTTAATAAAACGTTGACCTTTATAGCAAAGCACTGTATCGAGTTAATAAAACGTTCACCTTTATAGCAAAGTATTGTATCGAGTTAATAAAACGTTCACCTTTATAGCAAAGTATTGTATCGAGTTAATAAAACGTTCACCTTTATAGCAAAGTATTGTATCGAGTTAATAAAACGTTCACCTTTATAGCAAAGTATTGTATCGAGTTAATAAAACGTTCACCTTTATAGCAAAGTATTGTATCGAGTTAATAAAACGTTCACCTTTATAGCAAAGTATTGTATCGAGTTAATAAAACGTTCACCTTTATAGCAAAGCACTGTATCGAGTTAATAAAACGTTCACCTTTATAGCAAAGCACTGTATCGAGTTAATAAAACGTTCACCTTTATAGCAAAGTAATGTATCGGGTTAATAAAACGTTCACCTTTATAGCAAAGCACTGTATCGAGCTAATAAAACGTTCACCTTTATAGCAAAGTAATGTATCGGGTTAATAAAACGTTCACCTTTATAGCAAAGCACTGTATCGAGCTAATAAAACGTTCACCTTTATCGCAAAGCACTGTATCGACTAACTGTTAACGTTAATCAGTGTGTGTGAGGTGGTTATTAATTGGACGGATACAGACAGCAACGTAAGACTATTTCATTTCTTCTACCCTAGTACACATCTGTCGCGTAGTTAGTATACATGTTTTATTTTATATACAATATCTATTCAACAGTACATTATATATTAAAACACTGTTAATAGATTTGTTTTCCTTGATTTATCTAATTGCAGTATCATTATAACTTTACCTCCGTATGTATGTTACTGGAAGCAAAACTATTTACATGCATGTTAACTATGTATGTATATTACATTTGATAGGTATATATATATATATATATATATATATACATTACGATATCGTTTCCTTGTGTGACGATTTGTTCAGAATATGGCATCAGTTATATTATGTGCATAATCAATGTTATTTTATTTAAATGCTTGTGAGATTCATATCCCTTGGAGCACAAGACGGAAGTTTAAGCTAAATTATTATTGCAAAATTTGGCGATAGCGTATTTCTGATATATAGATGCTCAAAAACAAAAATAAAAGCTAAATGAATACGAAACATGTGGGTGTTTTTGTTTTAATTCTGAAATGTTTTGTTTTTCGATATAAATATGAAGCCAACAGCGACGGATTGTACATAACAACTGGTTTACCCAGTAATGCCACAAAAGGCATCCTCGATATCCAGGGGTTACGCTCACTTTCGCTCTCTACACCCCTGGAATATGTAATAGCAAGATTTTAGGCTCAGTGTGCGCCATCCTGTTGATGAGACGAGAAGACTAGTTCGATCCTTTGATATACATCAAAAGAATCTCGCGGTCATGTAACGGTAAAAATTGACAGGCTTTGAAGTCGGGCTGGTATCAGCATAGCGATTGGTCAGTTTTTTTTTACCTGAGACCAATCAAAGAGCTTTCTTCGTGCCTTAAATTTTGCTATGACATATTCCAGGGGTGTAGAGAGCGAGTATACGCGTAACTCCTGGATATCAAGGATGCACAAAAAGCGGTGTTCGTTGACACTAATGGATAGTAACAACCTACTTTGTTGACTTTACAAATGTGACAGAGTAGCTGATAGTACTAGTTCTATCAAAGAACATGTATTGTCCTTTAAGTGTTTATCGATCATATGTTCATTTATTGATGTCATTGTATTAATTTAAGTTCCAGAAGAACGTTCTAATGCAGCAGCTCCATTGTGTGTGTAGTATCGTACTGCTTTACTCTTAGTTATGGTAGCTCCGAGATAAACAAAGTTTAACACACTGAGATTATTTATCGGTAAAATGGTCTGTTAGCATTATACATGTGTGTGTTTTAAACAGGGAAGGGAACTATAGCAAAATCGTTGATATTAAATGCTAATTAAGTAAATTCTAGATTGATATCGCAATAATAATTCAGAAAAGCTCGTGTATGTTGATAGCCATTTCTTTCTGTTTTTGTGTGTTCTAATATTGATGCAAATCACCGTCACATTTCATGTCGTGTACTCTGGTATTTTGGTCTGGACGGTTCTAACATGTCTGCATTTCTAGTGTCAACATGTCAAACTTATATTTTGATGATATGAATTATGGCTATTCCCTTTTTTATCTTTGTCTCAAAATTATCTTAGATAAGTCTCTAATACCCTAGAACTTGCTCTAGTAAAAACATACACATTCTCGTTTAATTGTATTGTATGAACTGATAAAGAACTTGTAATTTTTCCATTGGTTAAAGTGTGTGGTATTCATTGTTTTTCGGCATAAGTAGGTAATAGATAAATAAATAAATATACAACATTTGATATTAGCGCTCTATCTAGTTAGAATAAGCCACTCTAAAGCGCTTTACAGTACATAGATATACAATTTTATACAATCAATACAATTAGCATATACATTAATCAATACAATATTTTGAGGAAATCGCAGGAGCTGCCTTATCAGGCACTAATTACTATTACTATGCCACCTGGCTAATACTTCCCTATGTGTGTATGCCTGTGTGTGCTCGAGATGTATTGTTTACTGAATAATGAATAGAATATGACAGCTTATCAGGTGGCTTACCGAATACATCCTCACTTGTGTTTATAAATAAGCGACTGAGACATGTATTAGTGTATAGATTTACTAGTCAACTACCTACATCGTCATCGTCTGAAAATGTGATGTGTTTTGCACCTATTCCCCGGGATATGCCTCATTGGTTAAACTCTTCACGAGCAAAACCTTTGGGTCATAGACTTAGTAATGAATCATACATCATGAACGTCTAGTCGCGTGTCGATTCAACAAATACTTACACGTCCGTAACCAAAGTTACGTATTGTGGTCAAGTTAGGATGTGAAGCAGTATAACGACGAGGGACAAATACTTAATCTTTATATCAACGATATCTTTATCGAGAACAAATATCTTAAATGATTGATCGTTCAAGTTTGGACTGCCACGTAAGGAAATGAGTACCTTGCAAGAGGCAAGCGATGTAATTTCTGTCAATATATATATAAAAAAAAGCAAATGTGTGTGGTCACTGATTTTAGTCAAACAAAGTCCGAGTTTCCTCTGGCCCTGACACCAGACTTAGACATTTTGACAGATAGACCTACCTGTCAAAATATCTAAGTCTGGTGCCTGTCAAAATGTCAAAGTCTGGTGTCAGGGCCAGAGGAAACTCGGGCTAGTCAAACAACAACTATGCTGGTCGATGATATAAATAATGTAGATTTTTTATTTATTTTGCTTCATTCAATAAATCACAATCATTAAAATCTAACATAAACCAATATGCACATTTGCTCTTTCTCCATGTCCGAATGTTTATACACTACATGTTTATACACTACATGTTTATACATTACATGTTTATACACTACATGTTTATATACATTACATGTTTATACACTACATGTTTATATACATTACATGTTTATACACTACATGTTTATATACATTACATGTTTATACACTACATGTTTATATACATTACATGTTTATACACTACATGTTTATATACATTACATGTTTATACACTACATGTTTATATACATTACATGTTTATACACTACATGTTTATATACATTACATGTTTATACACTACATGTTTATATACATTACATGTTTATACACTACATGTTTATATACATTACATGTTTATACACTACATGTTTATATACATTACATGTTTATACACTACATGTTTATATACATTACATGTTTATACACTACATGTTTATATACATTACATGTTTATACACTACATGTTTATATACATTACATGTTTATACACTACATGTTTATATACATTACATGTTTATACACTACATGTTTATATACATTACATGTTTATACACTACATGTTTATATACATTACATGTTTATACACTACATGTTTATATACATTACATGTTTATACACTACATGTTTATATACATTACATGTTTATACACTACATGTTTATATACATTACATGTTTATACACTACATGTTTATATACATTACATGTTTATACACTACATGTTTATATACATTACATGTTTATACACTACATGTTTATATACATTACATGTTTATACACTACATGTTTATATACATTACATGTTTATACACTACATGTTTATATACATTACATGTTTATACACTACATGTTTATATACATTACATGTTTATACACTACATGTTTATATACATTACATGTTTATACACTACATGTTTATATACATTACATGTTTATACACTACATGTTTATATACATAACATGTTTATACACTACATGTTTATATACATTACATGTTTATACACTACATGTTTATATACATTACATGTTTATACACTACATGTTTATATACATTACATGTTTATACACTACATGTTTATATACATTACATGTTTATACACTACATGTTTATATACATTACATGTTTATACACTACATGTTTATATACATTACATGTTTATACACTACATGTTTATATACATTACATGTTTATACACTACATGTTTATATACATTACATGTTTATACACTACATGTTTATATACATTACATGTTTATACACTACATGTTTATATACATAACATGTTTATACACTACATGTTTATATACATTACATGTTTATACACTACATGTTTATATACATTACATGTTTATACACTACATGTTTATATACATTACATGTTTATACACTACATGTTTATATACATTACATGTTTATACACTACATGTTTATACACATTACATGTTTATATGCATTACATGTTTATACACTACATGTTTATATGCATTACATGTTTATATATATTACATGTTTATACATTACATGTTTATACACTACATGTTTATACACTACATGTTTATACACTACATGTTTATATACATTACATGTTTATACACTACATGTTTATACACATTACATGTTTATATGCATTACATGTTTATACACTACATGTTTATATGCATTACATGTTTATATATATTACATGTTTATACATTACATGTTTATACACTACATGTTTATACACTACATGTTTATATACATTACATGTTTATATACATTACATGTTTATACATTACATGTTTATACATTACATGTTTATACACTACATGTTTATACACGACATGTTTATACACTACATGTTTATATACATTACATGTTTATACACTACATGTTTATACACATTACATGTTTATATGCATTACATGTTTATATACATTACATGTTTATATACATTACATGTTTATACATTACATGTTTATACATTACATGTTTATACACGACATGTTTATACACTAGATGTTTATACACGACATGTTTATACACTACACACTAAAGACATTAACTCACCCATGCAGCCCTTTGCAACAAGACAAACATCTACATTTGTGTTTGGTATATGTAGATACGCAAATGCTTCATATTGAACATATCAACATATATATATATATATAAAACAATGACAGCACCATTATTTAGTTGTATATTAATTAGCATATTTCGAAATAGAATCGTCCTGTATCAGCGCTAAGGAATCGCAAAGCCTCGATATAGTTAACACTCGATCGAGATGGACTATTAATGGTTATCAAAACCCCAAAACTCACACAAGATACATGTGATATCCTGTATTTTATTGAGTCATGTATCCAGAATGCAGAGCCAGATTTAAAACGCCAGACATCAGTAGCCTCAATCTTTAACAATGCCTGACATGAGTATATCAAAGTTAAGGTAACATCAGTATCCATTAACATCATTAAAATTACCTACCATCATTACAAATATATACAAGAAAAAAACCCAATGAAATTTAATAACTCTACTAAAACTAACTAGAACTCTACTCGACGTGTCTTATTTCATGCTGATCAATGTTATCATGAAAACAGACAGGATACATTATATTATGTACCACGTGAGTTGTCCCCTCAGTACCTGTTGTTATTTCTTTTCTTTGTGTCTTCTCAGTTCATGGTTTCTTTTGGTTTTGTTGTCCTCTCAGTACCTGTTGCTGTCGTTTCCTTTTGATGTCTCCTCAGTACCTGTTATTTCTTACCTTTTGTTGTCGCCTCAGTATCTGTTGCTGTCGTTTCCTATTGTTGTCTCCTCAGTACCTCATGATGTCGGTTCCTTTTGATGTCTCCTCAGTACCTGTTGTTATTTCTTACCTTTTGTTGTCCCCTCAGTACCTGTTGCTGTCGTTACCTTTTGTTGTCCCCTCAGTACCTGTTGCTGTCGTTTCCTTTTGTTGTCCCCTCAGTACCTGTTGCTGTCGTTTCCTATTGTTGTCTCCTCAGTACCTCATGATGTCGGTTCGTTTTGTTGTCCCCTCAGTATCTGTTGCTGTCGTTTCATATTGTTGTCCCCTCAGTACCTCATGATGTCGGTTCCTTTTGTTGTCCCCTCAGTACCTGTTGCTGTCGTTTCCTATTGTTGTCCCCGCAGTACCTCTTGATGTCGGTTCCTTTTGTTGTCCCCTCAGTATCTGTAGCTGTCGTTTCCTATTGTTGTCCCCTCATTACCTCTTGATTTCGGTTCCTTTTGGTGTCCCCTCAGTACCTGTTGCTGTCGTTTCCTTTTGATGTCTCCTCAGTACCTGTTGCTCTCGTTTTCTTTTGTTGTCCCCTCAGTATCTGTTGCTGTCGTTTCCTATCGTTGTCCCCTCAGTACCTCTTGATGTCGGTTCCTTTTGTTGTCCCCTCAGTACCTCTTGATGTCGGTTCCTTTTGTTGTCGCCTCAGTACCTGTTGTTATTTCTTACCTTTTGTTGGTTCCTCAGTACCTGTTGCTGTCGTTTCCTTTTGTTGGTTCCTCAGTACCTGTTGCTGTTGTTTTCTTTTGTTGTCCCCTCAGTACCTGCTGCTGTCGTTTCCTATCGTTGTCCCCTCAGTACCTCTTGATGTCGGTTCCTTTTGTTCTCCCCTCAGTACCTCATGATGTCGGTTCCTTTTGTTGTCGCCTCAGTACCTGTTGCTGTCGTTTCCTTTTGATGTCTCCTCAGTACCTGTTGTTATTTCTTACCTTTTGTTGTCTCCTCAGTACCTGTTGCTGTTGTTTTCTTTTGTTGTCCCCTCAGTACCTGTTGTTGTCGTTCCTTTCCTTTTGGCGTATCCTTAGTTCCTGGTGTTGTCTTTCCTTTCGTTTTTGTGTCTATTTAGTTCTTAGTGTTTTTCTTTTTGACTTCGTGATATTGAGTGTGTGCGGTATGGTATTTTCCCTTTTATCAATATCCAGAATTAGTGTAACCTAAGTATAGTATTAGTAATGACATCACAAAGCGTTTTTAATTTTACGAACCGAATGAGGCATACCATCCTCGCCACATGTATTGAACACGCTCAGTAGCCAGTTAATATGTCAGTTGTCACAAGCACATATCTAAAATTTCGAACAAATGTTTACTTATAATTTTTAATTCATTTATAGCTGACAATGAACTTGGGAATATTACGTTAAATGTTACGCTGTACGAGTCTCTGTGTTGGTAAAAATTACCGTAATTATATGTATAGACGAACAAATTGTACATTGATTATAAAATAGATTAAAGCACACAAACTCGTACCTCAAAGTCATTACTAAAAACCGAATAAACAGGAAGAGAGGAGACACCAGAGGCAATAGGACGTCACCGTTTACTCTGACGATACCCAGACAGAACCAGGAAAGTATGTCGGTTAACATCAACCTAACACAAAGTGAACAACTGTTTAATCATACAAGTCACTGGAACCTCATAGTTCGTAAAAAAAAAGAGTACCGAAGTGCCAATTAAATCGTAATTGAAGGCAAAATCGATAAATCTAGGGCAGAATATGAGCGTAAAAAAAATATTTACATTATGACTCTTTAAAAGTGCAAAAGAAAACAAGACCATGTGTTCCGTTAGGATAAGCGTCTTCTGTTTCATCGACGACACTTGCCATCTAAATGTTGGTCAAATTCAAGTAAAGTTACGTCCCTAAAGTTAGAACCGATGAAGTTTAAAAGAAACAATGCACACTTACATTTATGAGCATAATAAAAAAAAAAACATTGACCTTCTTATCCAAAGAAATAGTATATTTCCCGGTGAAATCATAAAACGTGTCCATGGTCTTCGCTACTTGCATCTCTCGAAGTCCTATGTTGTAAGTTTGTCCGTCAGAAGTCGACATCTACCAAGGAAATCATGATATTCAGAGTAAGCAAATATTGAATCAACATATAAGCTGTGGGGTGATCACAGACCGAGAGACAGAATCTCGAATAATTCTGAATTGTGTTTAACAATAGGTATATCATACTTGTGTGAGCGGTCAAAGACATGAATATCATTTAGGAACTTTAAGAATAGAGGTTTGGCAAATATGGCGATTGATCGACTTCCTGTTTATCAGGGTGTGTTCGGTATTGAAAATAAGGTTTTTAGTGTGAGTTAGTAGATAGTTCTTAGCTTGGATTGTCGGCAGCTTTAACATGTGATATAGCGTGGCAGAACCTCTATTATCCAACGACACGCCCGTGAGCTGTTCCACGTACTAACACACCAGACCAGCATGGGATTGTCATTGAGGTGGCCACCGTTACAATACAAGTAAAGAAGCACCGTTTTATGAGACGTGATGTGATTAAAAGGGGAAAAATGTTTCCGTTGCGGATCTAAATTTGAAATAAAGTTACAAGAATATTTTGAAACGCAGAACGTAAAAAGCTATGCATATATATCTGACCGGGGTCGCTAGCGTGACTTTATGGATATATATATATATAAGTTGGCATTACCAAAGTCAAAACAATCCTATTACTAGGAATCCTAGGTTTACGTTTGTGTCTGTTAAGTGGTAATAATGCTCTCTGCAAATGTTTGAAATAGATAGACATGAACATATTCTTATCATAGACCTTTTATCTGCATGTGATGTGGGGGATAAAACATACTAATTCCGCAATCATGCATTTATTTGTGCGGTGGTAAAAATGAAGCATTTTTCTATTAGCTGTTGAAGCAGTCTCATCATGGTGTGATATCAACTTGATTTATTCCAGTTGCAATGCGGTTTTGACTTGTATTTGCTTTTATAGCAAACCTTACCGAGGAAATGATGGGTAATTCCAAAGGTAAGGCCAGTGAGAGTAACGCCGGTCAGGCCGCCTCGGCAGAACTTCCCGTGTCTAACACTGCCGCTAAGAAGGTGGACCCGAGGCTACCCTTTGGTACCTACCGACAACAGTTCAACACGGTCAACGCGTGGAAACCATTGATGAGGACGCTCGAAAAAAGTGCCAAAGAAAATCTCATCAGGTAGGGAGACATGATTACTTCTTTTCACTAAAAGATATTCAAAAGAAACGTTTAAAAACTTTCATTGACACCAAGTATTTGCCATTTTGATCATTGTAATAAATGAAGGCAATCAGTACACGTGGTACTCCTCAACGAAAAGAATTCATAGGCGCTCCTAAATCAAGAGAGACAGATCTGCAGTAATGAATGAATTCATTTGTGGATATTACAAATTTTACACCTTTCTGTTTTCCAGATTCATCAAGAAATACCCTCACTACAAAGACTGCTTCCCGAACGCCAAGAATATTGAGAAAGAAGAGACAATGAGAGCCAGTCTTGAGTTTGGGATCGATGCCATGGGAACATTTCAGGTGTTCGATGACGTAATAAGTAACCTAGAGGAGGTCGATGTAGCCATCAAGAAGATCAAAAGAACCGCCAAGATAGGCCTCATGTCTTTGGACATGATAAAGGCAAGTAAGAATGGTCATCATAATGATCTTGTATGGAAATATGATATTTATTTGTGTGATAGGAAGGTCTGTGGTTTGGATTATGCTCATCAGTTTTTTCAATGCTCTCCATGTAAATCTTTCCTTTGTTGATATTTTGCCCAGCTTTATCGATATTAAGTTCACATCATGATTTTGTTGATACTTAGGTATTCCTGGGTTGTTTTCTGTAGAATCATCAGACCATTCTAACGTGAAAAGTGTGATGATACTAGTGGTCCTGACTGTGCGAGATACCATACCAAACTAAGGGATGCCTATCTTTTGAATTCCTATATCATTGGTACATTTGGCAACTTAAAAAAAAAATGTGAAATATCACACATCGTATATTATTATGGAATAAACGATCCAGTGATGTATGGTATCGGGATAGTTTAGCACTCCGCCTTATCTGACTACCACGCTTGTTTACTATTGACAAGTTCAACAATGCTTCATTTAAAATGACAAAGGACACTACCACAACCGTAGCTTATTTTCTTTTCACATCAACATTGAGTTCAACTTTTGTCCATTTTTGTTGACGCTCAGGTGTTATTTTTATATTCATGGATTGCTTGAATATAACCTAATATATAATATATATATCGTTGGTTCCTTGTTCTAGGACATGAAGGTGACGTTCCTAGAGTTAGTTGGTGACACGCTGGGAGACAGGTGGACGGACGCCACAAAGGAAAACTTTACTCTCCTGTACGATTTCATTCTGGAAGAGTACGCGAAGGCCCTGTAGACAATCTACGTCACTGGATCACAGGCATTTTGTTGTGAAATAACATCGATACACTCTTGGTATGAAATGTAATCTTTGAAGAATATTTTGTCAACGGCAGCGAGAGCTTTTATCATGAATTCGTGTGATACACATCTAGATGACAGCTACCGCTGATCTGGTGGATCTGAGTATAGTCGGGCAAACATCGCAGGGAGTGAAAAATGATAAGGAAAATGGACCTATGTGTCCAGACAAAATATTTAGTTTTGTTGTAAAGTGTAACGGACAAGAGAATGAAGCTGGTAGGACAGTGAAATACGTATTGAGCTATACACGGAATGACTGAGACTGTCACTCAGTATGGAAAACATATCCCGCGTTAACTTCAACATATTAATGTCATGGTGCTTTATTGGATCGGCAAACAATGAATTAAATGTCTGACAACCCATATTGTTATTTTGTTTGTAGGAATCCATTGAGAAAATCTTAGAAATTTGGTCGATGAATTCAATGAGTTATTTCAGTATCTACCAATGCCATGAATATTTTCAGATCTTTCGTTATTATATGTTAGGTCAAATTCTTGCCATGTTCAATTCATAAAATTCATCGTACAGAATCAATCAATCAAAAAACGATACAACATTAACAAAGATATGATTAGAAATACACAATGATTTTAAATAGAGTGTCAAGAATGACCAGACACAGGTCAAATTGTCAAGTGACAATAGAGAGAAGGAAGAAAAGAGGGGTAAGGTGACAGTATGCAAAGATAAGTGAAAACCGAAATCTCGAGTTTCTCCAGTGCCTTCGTGAGAGGTTTCCCGACTCTCTAGACCCCTCTCTCTCCTGCATGATATGGTCATGTGTAGGCTTAAATTTATATACATTTTATAAAACTGTCAGCAATGTCATGCTACTTAGTCATCGAGTTAAATCTTTTTAAACCCAAATTACGTTAACTGCTTTGATATCCTTCACATGTGCGTCGACTTGATTGAGCATAGTCAGCCAGGGTCTGACCGACTCTCGCTGCTACTGAGTGACTTCTTGTTGGATTGCTGTTATTGCAGCTCCTTCCAATAGATCACTTTTGGGTAGTTATGTTTCTTGTATCACGGTTATGTCTAGCAATGCTGCTGCTGATCAGTATATCACATCTCCTTATTTCTCCATACCCAGCTGGATGCCAAGAGTGACTGTCTGTTGTCAGTAAACCTCCTCCCACTTGTCTTTCTCTTAGTCCCTGCTCTTTGCGTCATATGTACATCTCAACTGCAAGGGCGGCCGTGCCTGACGATAGCTCATGTTACAGATTAGTGGACTGTTCACACATACACGTGCTGCGATGTCCTTAAATCCCCTGGTGAACAGCTGGACTCGACAGCGCATCATAAGACAAGTTTAAAAGGAAATCCAATCCGTACACTTTTATTTTCCAAATGTCGGTTATGAAACTACTCTCTATTGCACATGTTCTGCCCGAGACAAGTCCCTGCGTTTTCTTTGACTGGTGCCCTGCCTACAGGTCTAGATATTTTCCAAAAACCTTGTCGTCCCAAAGCCTTTGTATTGATTCTGTCTCCTTTACAGTTCGTTTCACTTCCCATTATTTCTGGCCTGTGCGTGTTTCGACCCTTGCCCCCATGACCTTGTCGACGCTATCCCTCAGCATGCTAATATGTCGCACCTTCATTACCTTCCAGGTGTCTCGTGGTTCATCATCTTTCAAACAACTGTCTGTCATCCTCGTATCATCCACAGACCCTCTTGCGGGTGAGTTACCTGAAGCATGTGGCCCTGGAAGACCCCATATTCATTTTTCCCGCTGATTCTAACCTGTTTGTGGCAGCTGGAAGGAGTATCACCGATATTATGCACACGGTGACAACCTCCTATCCCTGTCAAGTTTGTTGTGTGAACGCCAATGGTGAAGCCTACACTAAAGCATCAATAAGTCGTCGACATAAAAAATATCACTTAGATCTATTTCTAGAAATTCTGTTATTAAAGGTAACTTTCAAGGATTAATAACAATTTTGTATGCGGTTAGATAAGACAAAAGGCTTACATTTTATGAAACAATACATCGACATCTCTCCTGTAATGCATGATAACCAGAATATATTGCCATCGACAGTTGCTTGTTATGCTTTCTATTAAAAGATAGAAAGATATTTATGATTACGCTCGCCATATAGAATCTAAGAGTTAGCCTTCGGCCAATGAATTTCGACCCTCGATGGCAGCACACAAGTTCCTTGCTCTCTTTCCCGTTACAAAATGGTGCCCGTGGCCCTGTCTGTGATTACCGTACACCTGGAGTTAGAGTCTGGGTTCAAGTGACCCCAGTGAACTGACCACATTCCTTCATTCTAACAGTACATTTGCATCTATTACATGTAACACCAACATAAAACCTACTAAATCGAATGATGAAGTCAGTACACATGTACCGATTGTGTTGTCTTCTTCGTAGTTCTCTCATGTAAAAGGCATACTTAGTTAACACATGTAGAACCTCTTTATCAGCTGAAATACACTCACTAACCAACTAATTTGCCCTTTCGGTATCATTAAACTTGTAAAACTAATCTCAAACAATAAGATTTCAAACCAAAAAAGTAACTCGACAATGTCTCTGTCTCATTAAGTCTACAATTCATCATGCAATGGAAATGTAGAGAAGAAATTATATGTAAACAAAAAAGTATGTTAAAAATTGATGTTTAATATCTGATTTTGTTTATTTCTTGATAAATTATAGGGGAACAAATCAATCAAAACGTAATGCCCCTAGACAGCACCATATTAGAGAAGGGAGGTAACTGTATTTTCATATTATAATCGAATGCGCCTAGAAAGGGAGAAACCATTAGACATCTAATTATAAATATAATATGTGCATAAGAAGTTTATTTAATCCTATTTCTGTATATAATATCAATATTAATTTAATTATAGTGTCACAATAATTAGCTACTATAATAAAAACAATCAGATCTACAAGCAGAATGAAACAATCCGCAAACAAGGAAATGAATTAAAATGAGTGCGCTCCCTTTATGTCGTAAGCTGAGAAAAACGCCCCTCTATGCTGTCTGCTACGGGTTGTGGAAGGATCATTCTTCATTTAGGTGGTTTCGGTTTCGTACCTAATGCTGTAGAGATTATAAATACGTGTACCATCAATGTGCTTCAGTAACCCATTCACACGGGATCTGTCATCGTCAGGAATATCGGTCGCATCAACTTGCGTGACTTCAATCTGAAGTGCTTTGAGCAGCTGTGATGTAATCAGCAGGTGTTCATAATGGTGGACACCTTTATTCACGGATAAGATTTGTTTTCAATCTCTAACTCAATATGACAAACGTATATGGATAACAAGCCATGGCCACATCAGATACAGATATTCCCACCATAACTGTGGACCCAGTGCTAGGTAATGATCCTAGCAATAATGCCAACGATAAAGACGACGGTCCAGACGAGGTGGTTATCCAGAAAGACAATCAGCAGAGTAAAGATACACTCAATACCGACACTGACTACCACGATACGGCCAATGGTACCAGACCACATCTAAGAGGAAGAAAAAGTGTGTTTGGGAGCTCTGAGAAAATTCAAATCAAAGAACAGGTGCTGTATAAGAATTAACAGCTTAGCTGACAACTGGTATTCATATAGTCTGTTTGAGTGTTTGCACAGTGCACATGATTACAAGTGTTGCAACCAACATGTGTTTTCATAGTACTAGTACATATCAAAAAGTTGAATCCTGCAGTTGGATTAGATGCTCAGTTTGAGCAAGATACTGTATATTTTCCAATGACCATCAAATGGATAATTTAAGTTCCTCAGTATTTCATATTTGAAATAAGATACTTCATCCATTTGCTCAGCTTTGCTTACCTAGAATGGAGTTCCAAATGGTTGGAGTTGAGTAGTGGGGTGTCATTGTCTGAAATAAATGACTTTTTCCTTCAAAAACTTTTTTAAAAGGGTGCCCCATCAAAATAGTTTCTGAAAGCGTTAGTTATTTCAGACTATATGGTATAGGGCCTATAGCTACATGCTGTATAGTTTATAAGCACATCATGAGACATTGGGAACACCGACCAATAAAAAGAACATCATGGTAATATATCCTCCAGTGCTAATACATGTATCACACATACACATGTTGAGATGTAGTGTCCCAATACACTTGTACTGCTGAACTTTGTTCCCTAATCTGTACAAGGACATCCTGCCCCAGGATCTTGTTCCTCTGTTAAAACAGCAAACTTATATAAGTACTGAGGGTGTCAAATAAATGGTACATGTAGAAGCAGAGTATGGACAACTTTCTGGAGTTCAGCCCATCCTAGTACTAATATTAGTACCCGGCCTCCTCTGCCCCGGCAGGAAGCAATATATATAAAGAAAAACTCCCGTCGTCAGAAAGCTACGTTATCCCAGCTAAGCCCATCCTAGTTCCCTGAAGGATCAGAGATCTAGAATACACCACGTTGTAACCTACTAGATTATATGGCATTAGCAACATAACTAGAATATGTGTTCAGATAAAGTTAGTGTCATTGAATAACCATATATTATGGTGAAAGTGTTGTACTTGTATGGAGTTTAGAGGTCCAGGAAAAAATAATAACCCGGTCTGGCCCATTGATGTTTTTGCCTAGCTGTTATACTTGAAACTAACTCATCTACAATAATGTACTTTATATACATATGCATACTGAATTTACTATGCTATATATATGATCAAATTAAACCTAACACAAATTCCTTGAAAACGTAACTCCAGTACTAGTAACTATCCCCTAATGTAATGAGGTTATATATATGTACTAAGGACTGAAGGTGTATAGTACATCACAGTGTAGGTTTTCTTATTTCCTGTTGTGTTATTTCATGATGTTTAACATTTAGTTTACAATTAGCTAAAGGTATTTGCTGCAATAATATAGCAATAAAACACAAAGTTCTTTGTTTCAATAAAAAAAAGGTATTTTTGTGCTGTACATGATTCATACTTATGGACAGTGTAAAAAATAAAGGATTTAATGATTTTCTTGTCTAGTGTTACAAATATGGAGCTACACAATATGTTAATATGTTTCACTTTTGGTATCTACTGAATGACATTCTACAAGTTGCTGTTCATGTGGTAAGAAGGCTATGTAATTGCTCAGACTATTGTTTCAAACCTAGGACCAAGAATTGACAGAGAAATTCTCAATGACGACTCATATAACCGTGATCAATTTTTGAAACCATTTCAACAGCATCAAACTAATTTACAATGAGTTTTGTCTTTCGTCTTTCCTCAGGATTTGGTGTTGGCTGTCACACTGGTAAAAGATGCCACCCAGGGCAGGAATTTCACCTTCAAAAAACAACCTCAATATGTTCAGTATGTAATACAGTTTCTTGTTAAATACTTACTATAGTATGATTTCCGTCGCCCGTCCGTCAACTTTTCCTTTAAAGCGCTACTAGTCATGAACGACTGAGCAGATTTTGACCAAATTTGGTCAGAAGCATCCTTGGGGGAAGGGGAACCAATTTTGTATAAATGGTGGGTCTGGCCCCCCTGGGGGCTGAGGGGCGGGGCCCAATAGGGGTAATATAGTAAATTCTTTAAAATCCTTCTTCCTCTGTAGGAATGAAAGGATTTGTTCCATATTTGGTAAGAAGCATCCTTGGGTGAAGGGGAACCAATTTTGTATAAACCGTGGGTCTGGTCCCTCAGGGGCCTGAGGGGAGGGGCCCAGTAGGGGAAACATAGAAAATTTTGTATAAATGTTGGTTGTGGCCCCCCTGGGACCTGAGGGGCGGGGCCCAATAAGGGGAATATAGGTAAAACCTTTATAATCCTTCTTCCACCATAGGGATTAAGGGATATTATCCTAATTTAGTCTGGAGCATCCTTGGGCACAAGGCACCTTATTTCGTATAAACAGCGAGTGTGGCCCCCCTGGGGGCAGAAGGGAGGGGCCCAATAGGGGAAACATAGCAAATTCTTCAATGGCAGGATTTTGTCAAAATTTGGTATGAAGCACCCTTGGGTGAAAGGGAACCAATTTTGTATAAACGGTGTGTCTGACCGCCCTAGAGGCAGAGAGGCGAGGCCCAATAAGGGAAATAAAGGTAAAACTTTTAAAATCTTTCTTCTACCATAGGGATTGTATCCTAATTTAGTTGTATAATTGGTGGGTATGACCCCATTAGGGCATAGGGGTGGGGCTCTGTTTGAAGTTTGTTCTTGCTATATCTCAAGTACTTGATGGATCTTTCTGAAATTTCATATGTACTTACAGCACCTACCATGGAGTGCTATATCTTTACTTCATACCAATTATTTTAAACATATATTCAGGTGAGCGATACAGGCCCTCTGGGCCTCTTGTTGCAGTTTCCTGTCACTATCTAACAGAAAGAAAGTACAGATGTTTCTCAATCTTTATTAGCAGGGTTTTTCTATTTTCTCTATTTTTGCATATGTCATTTTCACCTTCAAGCTGCTTGATTAGAAAGAAAATATGACTGCAAGAAATCAGAAATCTCTTGGTCTACATATTACTTTTGTAAATAGATTAAATAAAAACTACCTCAAGTATTGATAAAAGCTTATTACAAGATATGCATTTACTGTTACTAATATAATCTTTCCCCACCTAGAGGGTAAGACAGAAATGTCTCAACAGTGCAATCCAATGAGTTAGATTCCTAAATGTCTTGCCTGAAGCTTTGCCAAGGGCCAGATATTTAAGAATCTTACCCTGAGGGTTGAGAGTTTTATGTCTTACTCATAGAGTGCGGAAGGATATATTATATTGCCTAAACATTATAGTAGGACTTATAATGATATATTTGGACTCTGTGAGGACCTTCCCCACCCTACTGTTTTTCTGGATTGTGTCTTGGTTATGTATATCACTCCCTGTAACTCTAAACGATGACTTATCTCCCCAATCCTGTTACCTTTGATATTGACTCTGTGTTGACTTATCTCCCCTTTCGTCTTACCCTTTGATATTGACTCTGTGTTGCCTTATCTCCCCTTTCCTGTTACCTTTGATATTGACTCTGTGTTGACTTATCTCCCCTTTCCTCTTACCCTTTGATATTGACTCTGTGTTGACTCATCTCCCTTTTCCTGTTACCTTTGATATTAACTCTGTAATGACTTAGCTCCCCTTTCCTGTTACCTTTGATATTGATTCAGTGATGCTTTATCCCCCCTTCCCTGTTACAAATAATATCAACACACCAGTAACTTATAACTTATTCCCTGTCTCTGTTATCCTTAATGTTGGATGTAAGGAATTATTACCCCTTTCCTTTAACCCTTTATTTTGATTCATTGAGAACATATGTCTCTTCACCTTATTAACCTTGTTCTACTCCATGTATATCTCACCCTATACCAGGTCATACAACCTGTACCACAAGGTTTACTCCATGTATATCTCACCCTATGCCAGGCCATACAACCTGTACCACAAGTTCTACACCATGTATATCTTACCCTATTCCAGGTCATACAACCTGTATCACAAGTTCTACCCCATGTATATCTCACCCTATACCAGGCCATAAAACCTGTACCACAAGTTCTACTCCATGTATATCGTACCCTATACCAGGTCATATAACCTGTACCACAAGTTCTAGTCCATTTATATCTCACCCTATTCCAGGTCATACAACCTGTACCACAAGTTCTACTCCATGTATATCTTACCCTATACCAGGTCATATAACCTGTACCACAAGTTCTACTCCATTTATATCTCACCCTATTCCAGGTCATACAACCTGTACCACAAGGTTTACTCCATGTATATCTCACCCTACTCCAGGTCATACAACCTGTATCACAAGTTCTACTCCATGTATATCTCACCCTATACCAGGCCATACAACCTGTACCACAAGTTCTACTCCATGTATATCTCGCCCTATACTAGGTCATACAACCTGGAACACAAATTCTACTCCATGTATATCTCACCCTACTCCAGGTCATACAACCTGTACCACAAGTTCTACTCCATGTATATCTTACCCTATTCCAGGTCATACAACCTGTATCACAAGTTCTTTTCCATGTATATCTTACCCTATACCAGGCCATACAACCTGTACCACAAATTCTACTCCATGTATATCTCACCCTATACCAGGTTATACAACCTGTACCACAAGTTCTAATCCATGTATATCTCAACCTATACCAGGCCATACAACCTGTACCACAAGTTCTACTCCATGTGTATCTTACCCTATTCCAGGTCATACAACCTGTATCACAAGTTCCACTCCATGTATATCTCACCCTATTCCAGGTCATACAACCTGTATGACAAGTTCTACTCCATGTATATCTCACCCTATTCCAGGTCATACAACCTGTATGACAAGTTCTACTCCATGTATATCTCACCCTATTCCAGGTCATACAACCTGTACCACAAGTTCTAATCCATGTATATCTCAACCTATACCAGGCCATACAACCTGTACCACAAATTCTACTCCATGTATATCTCCCCCGATACCAGGTTATACAACCTGTACCACAAGTTCTACTCCATGTGTATCTTACCCTATTCCAGGTCATACAACCTGTACCACAAGTTCTAATCCATGTATATCTCACCCTATACCAGGCCATACAACCTGTACCACAAATTCTACTCCATGTATATCTCCCCCGATACCAGGTTATACAACCTGTACCACAAGTGCTAATCCATGTAAATCTCAACCTATACCAGGCCATACAACCTGTACCACAAGCTCTACTCCATGTATATCTTACCCTATTCCCGGCCATACAACCTGTACCACAAGTTCTACTCCATGTATATCTTACCCTATTCCAGGTCATACAACCTGTACCACAAGGTTTACCTGCGTTGGCTGCTCTACTTGTTTATTCTGCTCGATCTGTCATTGGCCATGGTGGAGAAACCTGCACGACCGGGATGGGAAATCCCCTACTGGGTAAATATAATCATGATTGAATACATAATTTTCAAGGTGTACAAACACTCTGTATAGGTTATAGCGAAGACATCAGATTGTTCTTACTGGCTTCTTTTTTCCCTGATTTGGATGAAGCTCAGAACACAAATACCTCACTTGAGATTTATTTTATTTTCCTAGACTCATAATTAACAGGCAAAAGGAGCATGACCAGTAGAGTACTCATATAAGATAGTTTTGTCTATTTTTTACTAAAACAGAATTAGATGTTCTATGAATAAATGTTATCGATTTTTGTCATCAGGCGTCCATTATTATGGAGATTGTGTGTCTCGTCTACTTCCTGTTCCGATTCTGCCATGCAGCATACTTTACCGAGCCTGAAATTTTCTGGAGGGACACCAAAAACATCCTCATCATTGTCAGCATCATAGTATGTATAGAACACGTAGGTCACCAATATTGATAGGCAAACTGACAGGTGAGAAGCTTTCAAGGATAAGTTAAAACAAAGATACATAGGGTTTAATTCTCTGTGACGGTAAAAAAAGTCACCAAATGAAAAAAATCTGACATTTTGATAGAAGCACAGCAAAATGCATATGTCTCAAGCAAGGAAAGGAAACATCTCCACAGAGCTGACAGTTAAAGAAACCTTGGATGGTCGTATCATGATCAATACATGATGTTGTGAAAGTCCAGTTAATGTTACTATGTCTGTTTGTTACAGTTAATGTTAATCAACATTGTATGATAACATGTCTGTATGTTACAGTTAATGCTAATTGACATTGTATGATACCATGTCTGAATGTTAAAGTTAATGTTAATTGACATTGTATGATACCATGTCTGTATGTTACAGTGAATGTTAATTGACATTGTATGATACCAGGTCTGTATGTTACAGTAAATGTTAATTGACATTGTATGATACCATGTCTGAATGTTACAGTTAAAGTAATTGACATTGTATGATACCATGTCTGTATGTTACAGTTAATGTTAATTGACACTGTATGATACCATGTCTGTATGTTACTGTTTGTGTTAATTGACATTGTATGATACCATTTCAGAATGTTTCAGTTAATGTTAATTGACATTGTATGATACCAAGTCTGAATGTTACAGTTAATGTTAATTGACACTGTATGATACCATGTCTGTATGTTACTGTTTGTGTTAATTGACATTGTATGATACCATTTCTGAATGTTACAGTTAATGTTAATTGACACTGTATGATACCATGTCTGTATGTTACTGTTTGTGTTAATTGACATTGTATGATACCATGTCTGAATGTTACAGTTAATGTAATTGACATTGTATGATAACATGTCTGTATGTTACAGTTAATGCTAATTGACATTGTATGATACCATATCAGAATGTTACAGTTAATGTTAATTGACATTGTATGATACCATGTCTGAATGTTACAGTTAATGTTAATTGACATTGTATGATACCATGTCTGTATGTTTCAGTTAATGTTAATTGGCATTGTATGATACCATGTCTGTATATTACAGTTAATGTTAATTGACATTGAATGATACCATGTCTGTATGTTACAGTTAATAACACGGACATTGTATGATACCATGTCTGAATGTTACAGTTAATGTGAATTGACATTGTATAAAACCAAGTCTGTATATTACAGTTAATGTTAATTGACATTGAATGATACCATGTCTGTATGTTACAGTTAATAAAACGGACATTGTATGATACCATGTCTGAATGTTACAGTTAATGTTAATTGACAGTGTATGATACCATGTCTGTATGTTACAGTGAAGGTTAATTGACATTGTATGATACCATGTCTGAATGTTACAGTTAATGTTAATTGACATTGTATGATACCAAGTCTGAATGTTACAGTTAATGTGAATTGACATTGTATGATACCAAGTCTGTATGTTACAATTAATGTTAATTGACAGTGTATGATACCATGTCTGAATGTTACAGTTAATGTGAATTGACATTTTATGATAACATGTCTGTATGTTACAGTTAATGTTAATTGACATTGTATGATACCATGACTGTTTGTTACAGTTAATGTTTATTGACATTGTATGATACCATGTCTGTATATTACAGTTAATGTTAAATGACATTGTATGATACCATGTCTGAATGTTACAGTTAATGTTAATTGACAGTGTATGATACCATGTCTGTATGTTACAGTTAATGTGAATTGACATTGTATGATACCATGTCTGTATGTTATAGTTTGTGTTAATTGACATTGTATCATTCAGTGTCTGTACGTTACAGTTAATGTTAATTGACATTGTATGATACCATGTCTGAATTTTACAGTTAATATTAATTGACATTGTATGATCCCATGTCTGTATATTACAGTGAATGTTAATTGACATTGTATGATAACATGTCTGTATGTTAATGTTAATGTTAATTGACATTGTATGTGTCTATATGTTACAGTTAATGTTACAGTTAATGTTAATTGACAGTGTATGAGACCATGTCTGAATGTTACAGTGAATGTTAATTGACATTGTATGATACCATGTCTGTCTATTACAGTTAATGTTAATTGACATTGTATGATTCCATGTCTACAGTTAATGTTACAGTTAATGTTAATTGACAGTGTATGAGACCATGTCTGAATGTTACAGTGAATGTTAATTGACATTGTATGATTCCATGTCTACAGTTAATGTTACAGTTAATGTTAATTGACATTGTATGATACCATGACTGTTTGTTACAGTTAATGTTTATTGACATTGTATGATACCATGTCTGTATATTACAGTGAATGTTAATTTACATTGTATGATACCATATCTGAATGTTACAGTTAATGTTAATTGACAGTGTATGATACCATGTCTGAATGTTACAGTGAATGTTAATTGACATTGTATGATACCATGTCTATATGTTACAGTTAATGTTACAGTTAATGTTAATTGACAGTGTATGAGACCATGTCTGAATGTTACAGTGAATGTTAATTGACATTGTATGATACCAGGTCTGTATGTTACAGTAAATGTTAATTGACATTGTATGATACCATGTCTATATGTTACAGTTAATGTTACAGTTAATGTTAATTGACAGTGTATGATACCATGTCTGAATGTTACAGTTAATGTGAATTGACATTGTATAAAACCAAGTCTGTATATTACAGTTAATGTTAATTGACATTGTATGATAACATGTCTGTATGTTAATGTTAATGTTAATTGACATTGTATGATACCATCTCTGTATGTTACAGTTAATGCTAATTGACATTGTATGATTCCATGTCTGTACGTTACAGTTAATGTTAATTGACATTGTGTGATACCATGTCTGAATGTTACAGTTAATATTAATTGACATTGTATGATACCATGTCTGAATGTTACAGTTAATATTAATTGACATTGTATGATACTATGTCTGTATGTTACAGTTAATGTTAATTGACATTGTATGATAACATGTCTGTATGTTAATGTTAATGTTAATTGACATTGTATGATACCATGACTGTATGTTACAGTTAATGCTAATTGACATTGTATGATTCCATGTCTGTATGTTACAGTTAACATTCCTGGACATCATATGCTACATTATATGGGTGAACGTGGCTCCGAACTCAAACCCTGTCAGGTGGTCTCGTCCACTTCGTCCACTGTTTATCATCAATTTCTCCGACGGGAAACAGGTAACATTGCTGTTCACACCAGGAAACCTTGATTTTCATATCAATGTAATTCATGGACTAATGCTTGTCTGAAGAGTAGAGTATTTCTCAGATTTATTTTACATTTTTGTATCCAGATTTATTTTTGTTCAGTTATTATTAATACTCTAATTTTAATTTTGTTTTGTCTGTCTGATGTGATATGCTTGCCACTGCTATGGTTAACTACAAAATGTTCATATTCTGTCATATAATTTGTTGAAATTGAATCTCCGAGGTTATTGTTATGTAGAGGTAAACACATCGGGCATGCTCTACTTTTACTCACTTTACTATTTCTGGCCTTCTGGCTAAACAGGCACGCCGCTCAATTGGAATTAATGTAACACTGGCAATGCGAGCTAGTTAAGCTACCCTGTGTATGCCGGTTCAGCTTATGGCTGAAATGTGTCTCAAGATGGATGCTTAAGTAAACATTTTACAACTTGAACAGAATTTAGCTATCTAAACTTCGTTGTGTATAAACACTGGCTATTTATGATGTTGATGGGGATGTGGTGTCAGAAGATAGATTATAGTTGAATCCAGAGCTCATTCCAAATATTAGTCAGTCACATAATATAACCAGTTAACACCAGTTCCTTCTGAGTAGTCAACATCACTCCACAAATCGAGCACGCCCATTGTGTGTACTATGTCAGGTAGAGGAGCAGGCCCATTGTGGGTACTATGTCAGGTAGAGGAGCAGGCCCATTGTATGTACTATGTCAGGTAGAGGAGCAGGCCCATGGTGGGTACTATGTCAGGTAGAGGAGCAGGCCCATTGTGGGGACTATGTCAGGTAGAGGAGCAGGCCCATTTTGGGTACTATGTCAGGTAGAGGAGCAGGCCCATTGTATGTACTATGTCAGGTAGAGGAGCAGGCCCATGGTGGGTACTATGTCAGGTAGAGGAGCAGGCCCATTTTGGGTACTATGTCAGGTAGAGGAGCAGGCCCATTTTGGGTACTATGTCAGGTAGAGGAGCAGGCCCATTGTGTGTACTATGTCAGGTAGAGGAGTAGGCCCATTGTGTGTACTATATGTCAGGTAGAGGAGTAAGCCCATTGTGTGTACTATGTCAGGTAGAGAAGTAGGCCCATTGTGTGTACTATGTCAGGTAGAGGAGCAGGCCCATTGTGTGTACTATGTCAGGTAGAGGAGTAGGCCCATTGTGTGTACTATGTCAGGTAGAGGAGCAGGCCCATTGTGTGTACTATGTCAGGTAGAGGAGTAGGCCCATTGTGTGTACTATGTCAGGTAGAGGAGCAGGCCCATTGTGTGTACTATGTCAGGTAGAGGAGTAGGCCCATTGTGTGTACTATGTCAGGTAGAGGAGTAGGCCCATTGTGTGTACTATGTCAGGTAGAGGAGTAGGCCCATTGTGTGTACTATGTCAGGTAGAGGAGTAGGCCCATTGTGTGTACTATGTCAGGTAGAGGAGTAGGCCCATTGTGTGTACTATGTCAGGTAGAGGAGTAGGCCCATTGTGTGTACTATGTCAGGTAGAGGAGTAGGCCCATTGTGTGTACTATGTCAGGTAGAGGAGTAGGCCCATTGTGTGTACTATGTCAGGTAGAGGAGTAGGCCCATTGTGTGTACTATGTCAGGTAGAGGAGCAGGCCCATTGTGTGTACTATGTCAGGTAGAGGAGTAGGCCCATTGTGGGTACTATGTCAGGTAGAGGAGTAGGCCCATTGTGGGTACTATGTCAGGTAGAGGAGCAGGCCCATTGTGTGTACTATGTCACGTAGAAGTAAACATGCTTGTAGTTATTTCTTTTTAACACTCTACAGCACTAAAATTTATTTTTCTTTGATTTTGTTTTTTGTTTTGCATTTGTTTGAACATACGATATTTGTGTTTGCATGTTGATTATTTTGAAACCTATTAAATCAGTCAATATTTTACGATTACTGTGGATTTGAAAATGACAAAATATATAAAAATTATGCTCAGGGCCATCAAGTGTGTTCTAAAACATTGCTATTTTTACCTTTATGTAGAAAAAACCTGTCTTATCAAATATTTATGAATATAGGATTAGTTTGTAACCTGTTGATTGTTTGGAATAATGATATTGATGTACATGCAACACTTTTTCTGATACTACTTCTCAAGATTCCGTCCTCAAACATAATACACCTCTTGATCTGTTACCCCTGACCAGGTGTCACATTTCCAGATTGTTGATGAGACAGGTTTTATCAATTTTTTGTGTGTTTCCTATTAAACATCTAACCTTTTCATTTTGCTTTCCTAACCAATCTCATACCTCCTCCAGGTACGCAGGGCTTTCCGGAACATCCGCCGGACTGTTCCCGAGATAATGAATGTTCTAATTTTGTTCCTTTTGAGTGTGCTCCTCTTTGCTTTACTAGCACTCAAGCTTTTTAGCAAAAGGTAACTCTACTTTCTTTAAAATTAGAATAAAAAGAGAGATTATTTTTCCAATTATATGCTAGTACAGTACTATTTGTTAGAAATTGTTATGTTGGTCTGGATTTATAGTGCTAGGTTGTGTAGAGGACCATGATTGGATGTGATCAGCTGATTATATTAACAAAAATAACTTTCTTGCTTACATTAATTAAGTAAATGCATGTTTCAAGTGAGGAAAGCTATAACTAATTCATGTAAATTTCTGTTATAAGAAAGTTGAAACAAGCTTCAATGTACATGCATGCTTCCACAAACGAAATGTGTTTATTTCTGTCTTTCAAGTGTATTTTTCTTTATCTGTTAATTTCATGCATGCTGATGTACAACGGCACTGACCTAGTCTGTGACACTAACTTTAGTTTACTGTTTGTACACAATAATCATTTACGCATGTCTGGTCTAAGGATAATAATGGTTATATAAATGTTGTATTCCATTGTTCATTACTTGTTGTCTATCTCTGTTCTAGTAAAATCCATGATCAAGTTAATTATAAAGATGGAATATTTCAGATTTATCAGCAAACTTTCTTTGTTCAATATCTCTGAAAACTAAGAATGAATTTCATTACATTTTAAATACAAAGATGGTGATATCCTAACTTTCAAAATCAGTCAAAAATTAAATTAAAAAAGTCGAAATGTTGGTCAATATCTGCATCAGCTTGGTTAACTAACGAGAATGTTTTATGGAGTGAAGATCATTACTCTTGGTACGTACCACACTTACTGTATACATTTTGACTGAGCACAGACAAGGTATGAAGTACCCTTACGGACAGCTGTACTTTAAAAATTACCTGGACAGTATCTGGGATCTGTACGTATTGGTAACCACAGCAAACAACCCCGACGTCATGTAAGTCCTACCTATGTGTCACTAATTATGACAAAGTTATAGTCTAAATTCAATGGAAATCATATTTCATAAGTTCGCAATACCAATAGACGATTATATTTTGATAACAAAAAACTATTCAGGCACACTATTCAATCTAAGTTTAAAAAACGTCTCATATACCACTACAGAAAAAAGAACAATTTATTGTAATAATGCTGAGGTTGTTTGGGTGAACACTTCCTTGTCCTCAGGATGCCGGCCTATGATGAGAACAAGTGGTTTGCCTTGTTCTTTATTGGCTATATCATCATCTGTCTCTACATCTTCATGAGCATTGTACTGGCTGCCATTTACAACAACTATCGCAAAAACCTCAAGGTATGTCCTCACCAAAAACACAACACACGGTTCAATCACTATCCTCTCAAAACGATAAAGGTATTTCTTCACAAAAAGCTCAAGGTATTTCTTCACAAAAAGCTTAAGGTATTTCTTCACAAAGACCTCAAGGTATTTCTTCACAAAGACCTCAAGGTATTTCTTCACAAAAAGCTCAAGGTAATTCTTCACAATTTCTTCACAAAAAGCTCAAGGTATTTCCTCAGAAAAAGCTCAAGATCTTTTCTCAAAAGATGCTCACAGTATTTTCAATAAATGTATTTTCTCACACAAAGCCCCAAAGATATTTCCTCACAAAATGCTCAAGACATTTCCTTACACAAAGCTCACAGTAAATGTCTTCACAAAAAGATGAGGTTTGTACACTGGTACTTAAATAGGCTCCACTGAAAATGACACTATAGAATGATATAGAATAGTTGAGGCTCCACTGAAAATGACACTTTAGAATAATATGGAATAGTTGAACAAAGTAACAGTTCATAAGTTTAGTTCTAGAGAATGACATTATGAAGGTGTCCAAAGTTCATATTTTTCAGTCTAAAATCATTTTTTCTTTGTTTTTATACCACATTATTTAAGTGGTCAAAATTTTCTTTTTAAACTTAGATGATATAAATAATAAAAAACATTTAACACCAACTGGAACTTTTTTGAATGTCAGCACCATCAAAGGATTTGTTATGCAAAGTGCTGGTGATCTTTTGATCTTTAAGATATTTCATTTGATCCCGATTTACCAGAATCTATGTAAGGGACAAATTCTGACCAAAGTAAGGCTGTTAGGAATTTGAAGAGTTTCTGTTGTCTGTTTAAACTACTCAAGTTAAAAAGGTCCCTGCAATGTGCGTGTTCTGTCTGTGGTAGAATGAGATCAAGGCTGCAGTGTATGGGAAGCGAAAGAAACTGGCCGAAGCGTTTAACATCCTCAAGTTGAAGCGGGAATCTGGCTATGTCATAAACCACAATACTTGGTGTCAGCTAATGAGGCGCGTCGTCCCTGACAAAAGTCAACGCCACATCGACCTCCTGATGAGGGTACTAGATGTGGATGCCAATCACACCATATGTAAGTTTTCAGTACAGGCCAATAGTTTATGTATTAGTTAAATACATGTAAGTTTTAAGGGGGTGGATATACACACCCTGTCTCCCTGTTATCTCTATATGTTCTACTTGTGTAGATTAAACCTTTGATAACGGAGCCGCATTCTTTCCTAATCAAAGTTGCTGGGTTGTAAGACAATTTGATACTGGTGGCTAGATAATGGAACAAACAGATTAGTGGCGACTGGATTTAAAAAGTTTTAGCTGTTAAACTTTTCAAACACCCTCAGTTGTTGTTTACAATCACCATTATCAGTATTGACATTTCTACACCGATGTTTATTAGTGTTGTTTCTATTGTCGTGTCCAGCTAAGGTAGAGTTTCTGAGTCTAGCTGATTTATTGGAGCTGCGACTGTCAGAGGTCCGTGACCGACTCACTTTCCTGGAACAGAGGATTCCCTTTATATATAACTCCAAGATCAGCAACTTTGTCAAGAAGGTTGTCAGGCACAAGTGAGTAATATCTGTTAATCACTATCAAACCCATGCTTACTCTGTGAGTAATATCTGTTAGTCACTATCAAACCCATGCTTTCTCTGTGAGTAATATCTGTTAGTCACTATCAAACCCATGCTTTCTCTGTGAGTAATATCTGTTAGTCACTATCAAACCCATGCTTTCTCTGTGAGTAATATCTGTTAGTCACTATCAAACCCATGCTTACTCTGTGAGTAATATCTGTTAGTCACCATGAAACCCATGCTTACTCAGTGAGTAATATCTGTTAGTCACCATCAAACCCATGCTTACTCTGTGAGTAATATGTTAGCCACTATCAAACCCATGCTTACTCATCAACTCATTTAATTTGCATATAACCGTAGAAACTTTTGGATGCATTTCGCAAAAGTTGGCGTTGAAGAACAGACCCCAGGATGATGAAACCATCTTTGACTTAAGTTTTTGTTCAGCCGTATGAAGTCACTTTTCGTGAAGTTATCTGTGATTGGCCTTGTCAGAATTTAAGACAGTTTTAGACATAAGATTGTTTCATGATCCTGGAGCCTGTTTGTATCCCGTCGTCAGTATTTCCTAATCTTAGCTATCTGTGGTTTGTATCCCCATTGTTATATGGATCCTTCTTTTGCATTGCAATAAATAAATATACTTCTATTTGAAGGGCAATTCCATTACTTTGATATAAAAGATATTTATTTCATTACTAATATCTTCTGTTTTGCAGATTTTTTCGTTTCTTTTTCGACTTTTTGATTTTTTTGAATGCCTGGTTTATCGGGTTTGATGTGGACAGTGCTGATTGGTTTTTCCTGTCCCTCTTCATGTTGGAGATCACCTTCAAACTCTATGTATTTGGGCCCCGTGAGTTCTTCACAAGATTTTGGAACATGTAAGAATTTTATGCTTAACCTTTCATGCATGCATAAATCTATATTTAGTTATCATTGTCCAGTGTTTGTTGATGTAGTTAGACAATGACTATTGTCTGATGTTTGTCTTTTATTAAACAATGAATATTTTCTGATGTTTGTCTATAATTAGAAAATGAAAATTGTCCTATGTTTGTCTATATTAAGGCAATGAAAATTGTTCTATGTTTGTCTATAATAAGGCAAAGAAAAATTTTCTGTGTTTGTCTATAATAAGGCAATGAAAATTGTACTGTTTGTCTATAATTAGACAATGAAAATTGTCCTATGTTTGTCTATAATTAGACAATGAAAATTGTCCTATCTTTGTCTATTATTAGACAATAATATTGTTCTACGTTTGTGTATAATTAGACAATGAAAATTGTCCTATGTTTGTCTATAATTAGACAATGAAAATTGTCCTATGTTTGTCTATTATTAGACAATAATATTGTTCTATGTTTGTGTATAGAGTTTGACAATAAGCATAGCTTGATGCTTGTCTTTCATTAGAGTCTCTTTGGGGTCCTCATATCCTCACTTGGTTATAAAACCAATGCTTCACATACTTCTTTGGGCTTATGGCAGTAAACTGGCATCATGTAATAACATGTAACATGGGTTATTAATGTTGCCAGTCTACTTCTAAACATCAAAAATTGGTCAATCCAACTCCAGAAACTAGGGTTAGCTGGACTGTATGCATCAACTCTATATGGCTCAGGGTAAGACAGTGAGTTGAACTCCAGGCCTGAGTGATGTGACTCCAAAATCTTGCTGACTTCCAGACATTAAGAAATCAGGCTATGGCATGGTTTTTCACGAGCTTCAGGTCACTCACAGTCGTCCAAGTCATGTTTGATACGAGTTGTTGGCCACAGCTTTTCAGGACTCTACTCTTCAGCACTTTGGGTCAATAGCTTATCGGCTATTCTCCATCAGGTCTATGGGAGGTACTGTTACAGGTGATAGCTAGATAGACCCCCTTATCTGTAGACTTGTTAATAAATTCTGTGAGTTTATCTTACCTTGTTTGCTATTTTTTATGTGAACAGTGGGTTTTGTGCTGTTTTTTTTTATAGTAAGACACTAAGTACTTGTATTGTCCGCCATTTTTCTATAATTAAGCAATGAGTATTGTTCTGTATTTGTCTTGTGTTTGTTTATAGTTTGACAATAACTTTTGTCTGGTGTTTGATTGTGGATTTTGAGTGTTGTCCTTTGTTTATTGTTAGACAAAGAGTATCGCCTGTCGCTGTTTGTCTGTAGAATATGATTGTTGTGCTGTGTTTGTTCCAGCTTTGATTTCCTTGTCATTTTTTCTGCGGCCATAGCCTCTATCATAGAAGCTGCAGAAGGAGCTTGTAAGTAATGTTTGATCTGACCTCACACTTGACCTCACACTTGTAAGTAATGTTTGATCTGACCTCCCATTTGACCTCACACTTGACCTCACACTTGTAAGTTATGTTTGATCTGACCTCAACCTTGTAAATAATGGTTGATCTGACCTCACACTTGTAAGTAATGTTTGATCTGACCTCACACTTGACCTCACACATGTAAGTGATGTTTGCTCTGACCTCACACTTGTAAGTTATGTTTGATCTAACCTCACACTTGTAAGTTATGTTTGATCTGACCTCAACCTTGTAAGTAATGTTTGATCTGACCTCACACTTGTAAGTAATGTTTGATCTGACCTCACACTTGTAAGTTATGTTTGATCTGGCCGCACTATTGTAAGTTATGTTTGATCTGACCTCACACCTGTAAGTAATGTTTGATCTGACCTCACACTTGACCTCACATTTGTAAGTAATGCTGATCTGACCTCACTTACGGAACACTTGCATTGGAACAAAATCGAAATAGGATATAACAGAACTAATATTTAAAAACAATAAGCTAAGCTGAAGGCAGAATTTACACGACTGCATTGTTGACCAACCTACAAACCCGCTTCCCTCTGGGTATGAATGAAAGATAAGCACTCGTTCTCCATTTGTTTCCCTTCTCGGTGGTTATTTGACAAACTGGTTCTCTGATTGGGATCTGTTTACTCACCTGCATGATCTACTTGTCAGTTTATGAGACTGACAGATGCTGTTAGACTTGGTCGACCAAACATTTGTTTCTAATTGTGTGGTACATTTTCGCCATTTCGTCACTACTTTGTAATATTCATTTTTGCTAGCTACACTCACATATTTTGATATTCTAAATGTTATTTCGATAGGAAAATCCTAACTTTGAGTGAAAAATTTAGTGTCAGAATCCTAGCAAAGCCTCAGTTTTTACCCAAATTCTTCACTCTTGGATAGAATTTCCCTGTCCCTCATACCTGCATAATTATGATAGAATCTAACAATTTCAGTGATCCATTTATCTGTTTGTTACTCCAGCCAGTGAAGCTGTTAACAGTGATCCATTTATGTGTTTGTTACTACAGCCAGTGATGAACTGCGGACTCTGGATCCCCTACTGGTGTTGAGGGTAGTGCGTCTCATTAAGATATTTGGTAGTATCCAGAGGTATGTAACACTTATTATCACTGGTTGACATTACGTTATGTGGAACCTGTTTCTAGAGACGAGCGATGTTTCCAGCACGGTTTATATATTCTCAAGATGATTGTTATTTTACTACTAGACCTGGTCACTCTCCAGTTCATATATTTATCCTACAGTAAAAAATCAAAGTAACACTGCTCAAGGAACTGTCCTGTGTACATTTGAGTACATCTTTTGGTGGCAGTCTTATGGTGGCAGAGTGATGGGATACTAAAATAAGGTCTCCTGCCTCACTCTATACAATATAATTGCATTCATTCACTAACCTCACTTTGTTCATGGCTTAAATACTGTGTAACCTCAATTTGCTAAAATTCGTATGTTAATTACCTATTGGGATGACAGAGTGTCAGGCACTGAGTCGGGTCTGATGCCCAACTATATCCAGAATTATGGCCCTTTATTCACTGTGCATTACATTGTTTAATAAGGCATATCTCATATACTCTTGTCCCCTTCAATTGCCAACGTTTTGTATGAAGTACCTCTAGGATGATTGAGTGTCATGTATGGTATGGTTCACTACTATTTACAGAGTTATGGCCCTTGTTTATTTTTGGTACCAAAGTTTGTTCAGAGGTTAGAACCTACTAGGGATTGTAGCAGTACCCTGTCTTGTGGAATGTATTTCCAACACTAAAAAGAGGGTCCCTAATATCTTGCTGCTTCGTGCTAAAAAGAAGCCCTTTGTTGCCATTTCCTAAAATGTCGTGTTCGGAGCATAGATTAATATATACAAACAAAGAAAAGTGTAGCATGCATACAGAAGCATAATAATCATCTTAAACATACTGCCTGTAGGCGAGACTTTAAAGAAGGCAAGGTACAATCAAATATACAGTCAAGCTCACGGGCATTTCTGTAAAAAGTCCTTACTGCACGATGAATAGTGCTAAATTTTCGGACATTAATCCTACTAGGTGGACAACTAAATTGTAAAACCCTAGCAGAACTTAGAAATTTTCTTGGAGCTAAAATACCAATCTTTTCTACTAAAAACCAACAGTCGAACAGCCCATGAATACATTTAAAAAGGAAGCAAATATCCAAATATAGTTGTCTGCTTTCCAAAGAAGGCAGATTAAACTGTTTACATATATCAGAATAAGAATGGCTATGGAAATTAAAATGTATTTAAGGTAGGATCATGAAACTTCGTTCGCACATCAGTCATACTAAGGCGGTGTGCACTGTGCCAAGTTTAGGGCTGACAACCCCTTATTCACAGAGTTATTGCCCTTTGTTGCCCTTTGCTTAAATGTTGTGTCCAGAGCATAGCTTTGCCTGCATTGAAGCTAGGACCTGCATGAAATTTGGTGTGTACATCAGTCACACTAAGGTGATGTGCACTGTACCGTATTCAGGGTCTGCAGCCCCTTAATAATAGAGTTATTGCCCTTTGTTAAAACATGATTTTTCTTCTTTAAAACCCTCCACTTCAACATATTTTTACCAATATGTGTCATAAATCTAACCAAATGCAAAATTCACAAACAGCAAAAGCCTCCAATAAAGTTGTTTTCGGAGAGCATACATCAGTTCCACTGATACTCTTGTTATACATCTAACTCTATTTTGCAGGTTCAAGGTTATTTTGATGACCATTGTAAACATTGGACCGTCCATTCTAACATATGGAGGAGTCATCTTTGTAAGTGTATACATCCTATACAGACTATAATACTGTAGTCAAATAGGTTTTCATATGCCCCTCAAAATGTAATAACTGAAGGTTTACATTTCTATTTTGTATTATTTTTTTACTGATATTTGCATTAACTGCTATTTTCCATTACATTCTTAAGTTTTTATAACAGTCTGTTGTTTCTACATGTGTTTTATCTAAATTTCCCCTGTATTTCCCCTTGATTTTACAGGTATTTTACTTTATATTTTACATGTTTTTCCATTCATTTACATACAGGTGTTTTACTCTGAATTTCCCTGTATTTTCCCTGTGTTTTTTTCAGGTGTTTAAGTAAAGATTTACCTGTGTTTCGGTTGTTTTTTCAGGTGTTTTACTATATATTTGCTATAATCGGTATGGAGGTGTTCCATGGCCTGATCCGTTTCTACCCGTACAACTCCGACAGACAACCTAGTGAACTGTACTGTGGTAATGTCCTACTAAACAACACAGCCTTCTACAGGAACCACTACTGTAATAACAACTTCAACGACATCCTCAGGGCACTTGTTGTCCTGTTTGAGCTGACAGTTGTCAATCAGTGGCATGATATCCTTTTAATTTATACTAAAGTTTGTATCTATATTAACACTGATCAATAATCCCTCAATAACACTAGTGATGAGATGATGAGATGGAGCTCCTTGGTTGACACTGCTCAAGTCTGACACTAGTGATGAGATGGAGCTCCTTGGTTGACACGGCTCAAGTCTNCACTGCTCAAGTCTGACACTAGTGATGAGATGGAGCTCCTTGGTTGACACTGCTCAAGTCTGACACTAGTGATGAGATGGAGCTCCTTGGTTGACACTGCTCAAGTCTGACACTAGTGATGAGATGGAGCTCCATGGTTGACACGGCTCAAGTCTGACACTAGTGTACTCCCATAACATGAGAGGGCGCTGGTCGGCCTTTTTCCAATCGGATATGATTTTGCCGACTGCGGCGCCTGTCAAAAGTTTTTCGCCGTGTAAAACCTCAAACATTGTTGGAGTAACACTAGTGATGAGATGGAGCTCCTTGGTTGACACGGCTCAAGTCTGACACTAGTGATGAGATGGAGCTCCTTGGTTGACACGGCTCAAGTCTGACACTAGTGATGAGATGGAGCTCCTTGGTTGACACTGCTCAAGTCTGACACTAGTGATGAGATGGAGCTCCTTGGTTGACACTGCTCAAGTCTGACACTAGTGATGAGATGGAGCTCCTTGGTTGACACTGCTCAAGTCTGACACTAGTGATGAGATGGAGCTCCTTGGTTGACACTGCTCAAGTCTGACACTAGTGATGAGATGGAGCTCCTTGGTTGACACTGCTCAAGTCTGACACTAGTGATGAGATGGAGCTCCTTGGTTGACACTGCTCAAGTCTGACACTAGTGATGAGATGGAGCTCCTTGGTTGACACTGCTCAAGTCTGACACTAGTGATGAGATGGAGCTCCTTGGTTGACACTGCTCAAGTCTAACACTAGTGATGAGATGGAGCTCCTTGGCTGACACTGCTCAAGTCTAACACTAGTGATGAGATGGAGCTCCTTGGTTGACACTGCTCAAGTCTGACACTAGTGATGAGATGGAGCTCCTTGGCTGACACTGCTCAAGTCTAACACTAGTGATGAGATGGAGCTCCTTGGCTGACACTGCTCAAGTCTAACACTAGTGATGAGATGGAGCTCCTTGGCTGACACTGCTCAAGTCTAACACTAGTGATGAGATGGAGCTCCTTGGCTGACACTGCTCAAGTCTAACACTAGTGATGAGATGGAGCTCCTTGGCTGACACTGCTCAAGTCTAACACTAGTGATGAGATGGAGCTCCTTGGCTGACACTGCTCAAGTCTAACACTAGTGATGAGATGGAGCTCCTTGGTTGACACTGTTCAAGCCTTATTAACTCATACATTGTCTCCAATGACATGGGAAATGTCAACATTGCTGATAAATAAAATACACATTCCCTTTAATGAGTTGAAAAGTGAGTTGAAAAGTGGAAATACTGTAATCATTGTCAACTACATTTTTATTTTGTTATACAATTTTTAGCTCACCTGGTCCGAAGGACCATGGTGAGCTTATGCCATACTGCAGCGTCCGTCGTCCGTTGTCAGTCGTCCGTCCGTCAACTTTTCCTTTAAAATGCAACTAGTCCTGAACAGCCAAGTAGATTTTGACTAAATTTGGTCTGGAGCATCCTTAGGCCAAGTAGACTCAATTTTGTATAAACGGTGTGTGTGACCCCCCTGGGGGCAGAGGGGCGGGGCCCAATAGGGGAAATAGAGGTAAAACCTTTGAAATCCTTCTGCTACCGTAGGGATTAAAGGATTTTTCCTTATTTAGTCTTGAGATTCCTTGGGCCCAGGGGACTCAATTTTGTATAAATGGTGGGTCTGGCCCCCCTGGGGGCTGAGGGGCGGGGCCCAAGAGGGGAAATAAAGCAAATTCTTTAAAATCCTTCTTCTTCTGTAGGAATGAAGGGATTTGTTCCATATTTGGTCTGGAGCATCTTTGGGTAAAGGGGAACCAATTTTGTAAAAACGGTGGGTGTGGCCTCCCTGGGACCAGAGGGGTGGGGCCCAATAGGGGAAATAGAGGTAAACCTTTTAAATCCTTCTTCTACCATAGGGATGAAGGGGTTTCTTCCCAATTTCGGCTGGAGCATCTTTGGCACAAGGGACTCAATTTTGTATTTCTTCTTTCTGTAAGAATGACAGGATTTTGTCCAAACTTGGTATGAAGCATCCTTGGGTGAAGGGGAACCAATCTTGTATAAAGGGTGTGTCTAACCCCCCTGGAGGTAGAGAGGAGGTACCCAATAGGGGAAATAGAGGTAAAACCTTTAAAATCCTTCTTCTACCATAGGGATTAAGTGATTTTATCCGAATTTAGTCTGGAGCATCCTTTGGCCAAGGGGACTCAATTTTGTGTAAACGGTGGGTATGACCCCACTAGGGGCATAGGGGTGGGGCTCTGTTTGAAGTTTGTTCTTGCTTTATCTCAAGTACTGGATGGATCTTTCTGAAATTTCATACAATGTATGTATATCTTTACTTAATACCAATTATTTTAAACATATTCAGGTGAGCAATACAGGCCCTCTGGGAATCTTGTTATATTAAGGTTGATTCAGTCATTTACTTTATCAAAATACCTGTTTAAAAAAAGATGTATTGAAGTATAATTCTCTTCTTTGAAGCTATGCGCAGATCTCCATTGTAGATGGTTTCCGCGGTAACATTATGTTTAGTTTCCTTGACGCAGTGTTACTGATTACCTCTGGGTTTGTGATCGTTACCAACAAGGCGGCCAGGATTTACTTCTTCGTGTTCCACCTCTGTTGTGTTGTTATAGTCCTCAAGTAAGTCCTTCTCGGTGTTAGAGGTAATTGTGTGCTCAGACTTATGAACCTGTTCCATATATCTAAGATCAGCACCAGAAAAATATAAACATAAATAAACTGTATATTAAATATGAAATATCTATTGTTTATATAAATTACACAGACATGTTAGAGTACATATCTGGCTGGTACTATGAGAGTGCTATGATGTTGTTTATGCTATTCGTTTACATTCTCCCATATTCCATATGCTTATAGATCTGCTATGTATACTTACTTTACCATGTAAATTTAAAGCTGAGAAACAGAACGTGTTAAGAAAAATCTCCAGAACTTTTTCAGTGTTCAGTCAGAGAACTAAACATAAAACATGGATGGTTCGATCATCAGTCGGAAGTTGTATGTACACTGTTTATATTATATATGCCATAACAGACAATATCGATCAAGTGTAGTATTATTGTGGGAGTTATGCCCCTTTATTGATTTTTCAACTATAGACATTATCTGAAAAATGTGTAATTGGTAGTAATTAGCAAGTCAGTGTCTAACCAATAAACTATTGACAATATTTAACTCCTCAGCATTTTACTACAACATGTGTAGGCTTACAATAGCTAGAGATATTACCATTTCAGGGTAAATAAAATACATATCATTGAATTAAATGGTACATATTGTAAATTGATCAATTGTTCATGTACATAACAAGAAATAAAAAACATGAGTTGATTTCATTGCATAAGGTTCTACATTCTATGTTCTAAGGCCAATTATGACAACTACATCTCATAATTTAATTATTGACATTAAGCCATATCTTTTCTCATATGTCTATATTCCACCAAGGGAGAGAACTTAAATATGATTTAAGCCTGTTGTCCAATCCTTTTGACATTGTACCATTCTATCTTCAATAAAAATTGAAAAAATTAAAAAAAAAGACTAGGACCAGAAAAACATGAAAACTACTATGTGTAAAAGATTTGATGAAAGTATCTACTTACACAGCACACTGTTGTATAGATCCCTTGTGTTTACAGTGTTTCATTTTACGATTGCATAATCATTTGCCAAGTTTTAATTTAATTGATTATACATTTTTATTGCAGTATTTTCATAGCATTTATCCTTGAAGCATTTATACTGGAATACTCGCTCCAGAAGGCTGGCAAGATGGAGACTTTTGTGGAGAAAAAGATCAAGGAACTGGGGCTGGGTGTTGGACAGTGAGTGTTCTATAGCTAAGAGAACCGGGGATGGGTGTTGGACAGTGAGGGTTCTATAGCTAAGAGAACTTGTGCTGGGTGTTGGACAGTGAGGGTTCTATAGCTAAGAGAACCGGGGATGGGTGTTGGACAGTGAGTGTTCTATAGCTAAGAGAACTGGGGCTGGGTGTTGGACGGTGAATGATCTATAGCTAAGAGAACTGGGGCTGGGTGTTGGACAGTGAGTGTTCTATAGCTAAGAGAACTGGGGCTGGGTGTTGGACAGTGAGTGTTCTATAGCTAAGAGAACTGGGGCTGGGTGTTGGACAGTGAGTGTTCTATAGCTAAGAGAACTGGGGCTGGGTGTTGGACAGTGAGTGTTCTATAGCTAAGAGAACTGGGGCTGGGTGTTGGACAGTGAGTGTTCTATAGCTAAGAGAACTGGGGCTGGGTGTTGGACAGTGAGTGTTCTATAGCTAAGAGAACTGGGGCTGGGTGTTGGACAGTGAGTGTTCTATAGCTAAGAGAACTGGGGCTGGGTGTTGGACAGTGAGTGTTCTATAGCTAAGAGAACTGGGGCTGGGTGTTGGACAGTGAGTGTTCTATAGCTAAGAGAACTGGGGCTGGGTGTTGGACAGTGAGTGTTCTATAGCTAAGAGAACTGGGGCTGGGTGTTGGACAGTGAGTGTTCTATAGCTAAGAGAACTGGGGCTGGGTGTTGGACAGTGAGTGTTCTATAGCTAAGAGAACTGGGGCTGGGTGTTGGACAGTGAGTGTTCTATAGCTAAGAGAACTGGGGCTGGGTGTTGGACAGTGAGTGTTCTATAGCTAAGAGAACTGGGGCTGGGTGTTGGACAGTGAGTGTTCTATAGCTAAGAGAACTGGGGCTGGGTGTTGGACAGTGAGTGTTCTATAGCTAAGAGAACTGGGGCTGGGTGTTGGACAGTGAGTGTTCTATAGCTAAGAGAACTGGGGCTGGGTGTTGGACAGTGAGTGTTCTATAGCTAAGAGAACTGGGGCTGGGTGTTGGACAGTGAGTGTTCTATAGCTAAGAGAACTGGGGCTGGGTGTTGGACAGTGAGTGTTCTATAGCTAAGAGAACTGGGGCTGGGTGTTGGACAGTGAGTGTTCTATAGCTAAGAGAACTGGGGCTGGGTGTTGGACAGTGAGTGTTCTATAGCTAAGAGAACTGGGGCTGGGTGTTGGACAGTGAGTGTTCTATAGCTAAGAGAACTGGGGCTGGGTGTTGGACAGTGAGTGTTCTATAGCTAAGAGAACTGGGGCTGGGTGTTGGACAGTGAGTATTCTATAGCTAAGAGAACTGGGGCTGGGTGTTGGACAGTGAGTATTCTATAGCTAAGAGAACTGGGGCTGGGTGTTGGACAGTGAGTATTCTATAGCTAAGAGAACTGGGGCTGGGTGTTGGACAGTGAGTATTCTATAGCTAAGAGAACTGGGGCTGGGTGTTGGACAGTGAGTATTCTATAGCTAAGAGAACTGGGGCTGGGTGTTGGATAGTGGGTGTTCTATAGCTAAGAGAACTGGGGCTGGGTGTTGGACAGTGAGTGTTCTATAGATAAGAGAACTGGGGCTGGGTGTTGGACAGTGAGTGTTCTATAGCTAAGAGAACTGGGGCTGGGTGTTGAACAGTGAATGTTCTATAGCTAAGATGGGCGGATGGTCGAGTGGTTAACATTCCGGCCTTCCAAGCAGGTGGCTGTGGTTCCATCCCCAAAGTTTCCGTACACATGAAATATTCAGAGAAAGCGTTTTTTCTCCTGATCACACAACTCCAACAACCCAGGTGGAGTATAAAATGGTCTGGGGTGCTGTATGTAAATGATACAGTTGGAAACACGGTCCCATTACAAACAGAACACAATACATCTCCAGCACACACACAGCCATACACGCATACAGAGATATTAGCCAGATGGCATAGGACTAGTAGTTAGAGCCTGATAAGGCAGCTCCTGCGAATTCCTCAATATTGCATTGATTAATGTATATGCTAATTGTATTGACTGTATAAAATTGTAAATCTATGTACTGTAAAGCGCTTTAGAGTGGCTTATGTTAGCTAGATAGGGCGCTATATCAAATGCTGTATAATTTTTTATTTATTTAAGAGAACTGGGGCTGGGTGTTGGACAGTGAGTTTTTTTCCCCCATAGTTTTATGATTCGGGAAATAGATGAGGTATCAATATAACAGATGATAAACAATTAATCTCACAGTATTTTCAGGGTTTGTCATGAGAGCGATTATTTTGAGAAAAAAATGAAAAATGAGAGGCAACAGCAGGTGGACTCAAAATTATATCCTCATGTGAGTGATGAAAAGACCCAATGTGGTAATACATAAGTGTCAAAATCTGAGGTGTATTGATATTTACAGGGTGGTGAAGCCCCATGAGAAGTTAAAGGGAGATGCTATGGAACTGGTGTCACACGAGGAGGAGCCAGACCGCGCACATCCCCCTCCTGGCTCTGCCAACCATGATCAGGGCGATGAGTCAGATGGCTCAGATATTGACAGTATTCCTGACTTGTCTGCTGAGGAGGGACTTCGCTTCCATTTAAGGAAGAAGAGTAGGTCTATGTATAGGTTATGATAGTATTTAATTACCTGTTCATATCCAGATGGAAATCGTGCAATTTCTCTATGCCAGGAAAAAGATTTTTTAAACATATGCTTTATATCTTAAAACAATTCATGATTCAATTTAAGATAAACAAGGAATTTAGATGTGTTTTGACTAGTATTAATCATAGTTATTCCCCTTCAACCAAGCTTTTGCTCATATTAATTCATATACAAAAATGTACCTCAGGTATATAGCTGAAGTGGACTTTAGGATAACATCTGCATTTCACCTGGTCAGTAATATATATATTTTACCAGGTCATTGAATCTGTATGCTAGCTGGTCAGTTATGTCTGTATTTTTACCTGGTCAACTGCACCTGTATATCGCCTGGTCAGATACACTTGTATTTTACCTGTCAGTTACACATGTATTTTACCTGTCAGTTGCACCTATTTGTTACCTGGTCAGCTACACCTGTATTTTTACCTGTCAGTTACTCCTAAATTTTACCTGTCAATTACACCTATATGTTACCTGGTCAGCTACACCTGCATTTTACCAGGTCAGTTACACCTGTATTTTACCTGGTCAGTTACAACTGTTTTTTACTTGTCAGTTACACCTATATTTTACCTGGTCAGCTACACCTGTATTTTTCCTAGTCAGTTACACTGGAATTTTACCTGGTTAGTTGCACCCATATTTTACCTGGTCAGCTAAATTTACCTGATAAGTTACTCATGTTTTACCTAATTTATCTGATTACAGGTAGGAAGAAAGTGGAAGTTCTGCTACAGCAGATGTTTGAGGGAGAGATCGACCCAGAGGACCTGGGATCAGATTTAGAAGAGGAGAGGCCAAGAACCTTGACATTGGACGCAGTCACATGATCTGTACTGGACCTCATGTTTACTAGATCACATGACTCAGTCACATGATCTGTACTGGACCTCATGTTTACTAGATCACATGACCTTAGTTTTCTGTCTATTATGTGTGAATGGAACAAAAAGCCAGTGAAAGTGTTACCACTGGCGTGTGATAGCTGTTTACTTGTTTATTTGAAACTTGAATTATTCTTGTCCACCATAGACTATGACAGTCTGCAAATTATTTATAAAATTTGTATTTTCCTAAGAAATTATAGCAGGCTATTTTAGGGAAGTGCAAAAATTTGATGATTAAGCAACTAGGTTTGAAGTGTTAAAATAAGAAGAATTGCCGACCATAAATATCTCTGAAAATAAAGTTGCTAACCTTTTGCCCCTATACATAGAATGCTCCGACCTGAAACATCCCAAATCAATGTGCCCATGTTTAAATATACACAACAGGCTGTGCAAATTTGATATCAGAACACAAGAGGTACATCTACTAAAATAATGCATCTTGAAACTGATTTGCTACAATAAGAAAATCTGCAGTAAAGAACCACTGACATAAGAATCCTGTTTGACAATTCCTTAATTCCTTAATTCAAAAGAATAAAAATAAACCCATGCCTTTTTACCTTAAAAGCCTAAATGTTATGCTTGCTAAAATAATTTGCTAAATGTTACTTTGAATGCACAATGTTACATAAATTTAATTCATGTCGAACTTGACATATTAATATATGCATTACAGTGTAAAAAAACTAGTCAGTGATTTTAAATCTTTGATTTCATTTTTAATAAGTACATGTATATTTCTTTGTTATTTGTATGTAGTTGTTGATTTGTCTCATTTTACAGGAATATTAAGTAAATGTTATTGTGGATATGTTTCTGTCTGAAGGAATAGTTTGGCATTTGCTTAAGTTACTTTTGTGTCTTCATCAAATTATCTACATCTAAGTGTGTCTTTGTAGCTTGTGTCTTAGTCTCTGTTTTAAGAAAGCTTGAGGATGCACGGGCGAAGGTAAAACAGTTTCCAATGTTGTTACTTTCCTTATAAAAAGGATATTTATTAATCTATTTGACTCAAAGCAGACATTACAATTTTCTGAGCATAAAGCATAAGTTTATTTCCATTTCAGAGAAATATTACCCAGATACAGTTGTCTCCCTTACGTTACTGTTGTAGTCAATTACGTTTTTTGTAATGTACAGAACTTGAAGCTGATAGCAATATTTTAGTAATTTTTTTAAGAGGTCTGTAATGTAAAGAAAAAATAATAATAATCTAATGTTTCAGGCTTTTGCTCAGTACATTGCAACAGAATTGAAAAGTAATAAAGCAGTCTTGAAAAAGTTATATGGGAGAAGGGCAGATAATCTACGTTCGTGATGAAAACTTACAAGATAAAACTTTTTTTTGAGTCTTTTTTTTATATCAAATAATGGAGATGGAAACTTGTGTTTTTATTTTGTTCTGATAATTTTTGTGGAAGCAATTTCCTACCCACGTCGTCATGGCTACTTTTGTTTAATAAATATTTCCTACTTTCTCTTTATGCAGGGTATTCATTTCTATTTTTGCAACATTATCAAGTATCATTTCAACATTATCAAGTATCATTTCGTTTTGGAATGGTGTGTAAGTTGCACATGAACAAATTAGCAATTTATAATTTTAGCTGTAAATTTTGATTTTGAATTGGGAATTTCCCCGATGACTAATACCTTTCAGAACATTTTTTTTGTACTGTTGTACACTAGGTCTAGTGTATAAAAGTGGTCACTCAATGTGGGATTTATATCTCCATACATTGGTAACATCAGGATGCACAGGCTGTTTGATTGTGTTTAGAACAAGGAGATTTTGTCAGCATTGTATCCGTATGTCATTTCAACAACATCAAGTTTAGATTTCATATATTCTGGCAAAATAACTAAATCAATTGTCTGAAATTAATTTTTATAAATGTCTACATCTTATAATTACCTACTGATCAATTAGAAAGCTGACTTGCCTCTAAAGAGTTCAGCCTGTCTTTTTACAGAAAACGTTCTGCTATTTTCATAGCAAGCCATGATTTATTAAAGCTCGGAACTGGACTATAGATAAATATACTGTAGATGAGTAAGCATTTGGTCAAGTAATGTGTCAGGTCCAAGGTTTATGTGTTGGTATTCTTCGAAACTGCTTCATTTTCTAGGCTAAACGTTTAACATTGTGTGTTTGTCTCACATTAGCATGTTCGTGGTTTCAGTCGAAAGTGAGTTTTTGAAGGGTGCTGTGTAAAAGTGCCAGCTACTAATTCAGACTTATATAATAATTTGTGCAATAATTGATGCAAAACGTGCTATACAATGAGATGTGTAGATATTGGCTGTTTAACAATAAAATGACTGAGCTTGTCTGACTCATCCTCTTCTCCTTGTCAGATGCTTCAATGTTAAATAAAGTTTGAAGTAGTAACGGAAGTAGTAGGAGGGTCACTTGACGTTTTTCCCAGACTGCTATATATATAAAGATAATCACCAGAAAGGTATCATGACAGTTGGGAATCCCGTGGGGAAGGGGGAGGGCAGGTCAGACCACTGGGGAAGGGGGTATATACATATCACTGGGGGAGGGGGTACAGACCACTTGGGGAGGGGGTACAGACCACTGGGGAAGGGGGTACAGACAAATGGGACTTCTTTGAGGACTTCTGCTCACTGCTGAAGTTATACACTGTTAGATATTGTGAAGTTGGGTTAAGTCGATCACGAGGCTTCATTTAGTTGTCAATTAATAGTTATTCAACAATCTGTGTTTCAATATGAATAATGAACTAACTTTTGTCTGTATCTTGTGTGAACATGATGTGATATATTTCCTACCTATTTAGTTAGAATACGAAATAGATAAACGAGTTGGAATACAACTGAATTAACATCAATTATTTTCCCAACCTTGAAAGGATCTCGGACGTAAAATGAAAACCAAAACATTTGAAGAGGAATTGAGGTTTATTACACATTTATGAGTGTGAAGTTTGTGTCTCAAAGAAGTGGTAAAATATACATTGTATTAAAATGTGTCATAGAGGTAAAAGTGACAAACAAGTGCACTGCAAACTTCAAAACAGTATTAACACTTTCGATCTTACCTGTCTTATGTAAGTTTTATATTGGTAACGTTCAACCATTGCCAAAAAAACTCTATATATCGCCTCTTGAAGATTAGATTAGTTTTAAGAATCTTATTATTACCAACTTTGCTGACGAAATAGATTCAAATTATGTCAGTTAAAAATAGGTGTACATGTAACATGACTATAAATATCAGACCAACTACTTCCACAGGTACATTATAATATCTCAATGTAATGGACCCAACTAACTTTCTGTAAAAATCACATTTCGAGTTTGTACATAAAATATCATTCGAAACATGGGTTTATTTTCAAATAGCCTTCAAAATTCTTGCAAAATATGTTTTCTCCGGGAATTATACCCCTTCAGTCAATATCTAATGGACGCCTCTGTACTCAAGTAAAGAAACCCTCCGGTGTATAGTGTAGTGAACCCACCTTTCAGTGTCCCATATGATGACTATTGATTTTTTATGGTGCATTTGAATGACAAACAAAACATCTGGCGTTGATGACACTCCTGCATAATTAACATAATAGTATTCAATGCTACATGACGGCAACACATTGTCTGAAGACACCAATACCCTCAGTCGAGTGCACGTGAGATCAATGGAAGAGCCGACTTAACTTTTAGGTTTGCTTGGCATTATTTCTATAACTCGTAAAATAATGGATAGTTTTAAATTATTGCTGCAATTGACGTTGAGAGTGAATCTGTCCCTTACATGTATAGCCTGGACGTGTCGGTTGATTTACAAACACGGTAATCTCTTTGGTAGCAGGTCTAGTCTCCGGGGGTCTTTTTCGTCTGTTTGGTAGCCGGTCTAGTCTCCGGGGGTCTATTTCGTCTCTTTGGTAGCCGGTCTAGTCTCCGGGGGTCTATTTCGTCTCTTTGGGAGCTGGTCTAGTCTCCGGGGGTCTATTTCGTCTCTTTGGTAGCTGATCTAGTCTCCGGGGGTCTATTTCGTCTTCCCTTGGTGTCTCTTCATTTCCAGTTGTTTTTATGAACAACCTTGAGTTATAGTTGTGTCCTTTAGCAGTGCATATTGCGTAAGATTGCTAACATAAACTGCACAGTTGGATGTTATTGTATACTTCTCTCTATATAAAGACTGGAACTGTCCCAAGTGTACTGTTAAAGATATCGTACTGGAAATTGTCTACTACAGCTATACTGCACATGTAATGTTACAGAAGCATGCACACTTAATGTGTGGTAAGTGTTTTAAGCTGAAAATGCATCCACACATAACACAATGCGATCTACAAAGTGTTGTATCGATATACCCATACAAGACTAAGCTTTTCTGGTGACATCACAGAGGTGAAAGATTATATCTGATATAAAGATAATTGGAATCATGAAGACACAAAGTTGGTAAAATCTTATCGCTAAAATGACCATGAAATCGTATTGTATTTCAGACTAACAAAGGACACATCGGCAGTACATAAGCCGCTGTATTGTATTACGGAATTTAAATTAAAATATTAAATATTTTTTAGATTTTCAATTCCATTTGTAATACTATTTCATTTGTTATGAATAGAAACTACTGATGGTATAAGCATGGAAATACTTCGTGAGTTGCGTCAGCGTGAATTCCAATCTTAACAAGTACTTATTGTAATGGGGACCATCACAGAAGTCCTCCAAATCCCCGCAGTTATGTTCGCAGTGCCAAAATACACCTACATATGAAATTTGAGCAAAATCGACTAATATTTAATGTCGACCAATCAGAGACCGTGGCGGCCATCTTGGTTGACCGATTTGAAAATGAAAGGTCATTTGCACATCCCCTCGCCATGCTTAACATTTGTGTAAAGTTTCATTAAGTTCCGTCAAATTCAATTTTAATTCAATTCAGTTTATTCTCTTTACAATACAAAGTATAGAGAAACATTTGTACAAGATAATTCACAATACAGTTGTTTATAAGGTAAGTCACACAATCACAAGCTAATCAATATTATTCAAATAATTCATATCATGGAGGACACATATCATTAAATATTATTCTTATAAATGCACATAGTTTCTTCAAGGTACATGTACGTACATGTTTGGAATTCATCAGCTCGTTAAGCTTTAAAATGTTAGGTTTAATATAAAAGTACTTATCTAAATATGATTTTCTGAATTCAGTTAGTGATGGACATTGCAATAGGTAATGAAATTCATCTCCAATTTGCTTGCTGTTACAATATGTGCAAATTCTATTTTGACGGTCGATGGTATTCGATCTTCCGGTCTCGATGATTAGTTTGTAATTCGTTGTTCTAAATTTGCACAGAACATGTCTTTCGTTATCAGTTAAAAGATCTAAATAATCTTCAAACTTGCACTGTTCTTTAAAAATTCTATACCATATTGCTTTCGATGAATTAAATACACCATTCTCCCAATTTTGAACAAATTGGTCATAGAGAATTTGTTTAATATTTAATTTAAACCAGGAAGTATTTAATTCTTCTACGAAATGTGCATTCCAAATGTTAGTTCAGCCACAATCATTTAATATTTGTTGGATTTAACTTAAATGTGGGACTGTATTATTACCATAAATTTGACTATGACACAGCAAATTATGCATGATAACATTTAATTTACATTCTTTGGAATTAATCATTTGTGACTAATACGTTTTCATTCTGGATTTCACTGAAATAGATAATGGACAAGTACCAAGTTCTCCATAAACCATATAAGAAGGTGTACTTCTCTTGAGCCCTGATAGTAATTTACAAAATTCAAGATGTACACGTTCAATATTGTGTAGGTTTGTATATCCCCAAATCTCGCAACCATACAGTAATACGGGTTTTACAGTCTTACCAAATAAATCATATATACACCGAATATAAAGATTATACAGTCCACAATTCTTTAAAATATCGTTCATGGCAATATTAGCTTTTTATTTACATTAAAAGAACCTGTGCGTGATAATACAGTGCCTAAGTATGTAAAACTCTTGACAAACTCGATCTCTTCATCGTCAAAAGTAAATACAGTTCTATGATGCAGACGGACCTTTGTAAACATCATACATGTCGTTTTTCCTATTTAAACTTTCAATCTCCACTGTCTACAATAAAAGAATCATATCGTCTGCATACAAAAAAATAAAAAGTTTGATGTAGATATGAAATTCTTCTAATTTACTAATTAGGCACTGTAAACCATTAACATTATTACGAGTCATAAAATCTTCAAGGTAAATCAAGTATAAACTGGATAGAAAGGGAGATACATTTTCTCCTTGTCACAAACCGTTATCATATGGGGGAAAAGTAGAACTTTGACCATTAAAAGTTATCTTAGACTTAATGCATTGGCACATGTTGTATATAATAGAGTACATTTTGCCATTAATTTGGTTAAATAACATTTTGTTCCACACTTCATTCCTCCAAACTTTATCGAATGCTTTTTCGATATCAATGAAAATGCAGTAACGTGTTTTTTTCGTCATATAAGTAAGATGAATTAATGAGAACAATACAAAAATATGATCAATAGTTGAGTAATTCTTCCGAAATTCAGCTTGGTTTTCACACATCAAATTGTACTCATCCGAGTACTTCTGGAATCTTTCGTTCAAAATACTAAAAATTCGTCCAAAAGTTTTTGAGAAAATGTGTCGGAAATTTTTACACCAGAAGAAGAAGAAGAAGAAACGGAGTAAAACCAATAAGTCCCCACTTCGTTTCGATGACTTTTAAAATAAACTATTCTTTAATTTAGGATACCGGTAAAACATAAACGAACGAATGAAAAAACTCACCATGCAATTTGAATTTAAACTTCTTTTTTTTTACTTGCTCAGTTTCTTAGGATAGTAGCAAATCCGGCAATTTGTGTAAACAATCATTCCTCATAAACATTGCTGTAAATTGTACTCTAGTCCTGCTAGATATAGCTCCGGTGTTTACTTTGTAGGTAAGCAGTGCCTAAGTATGGCTTTTTATGTAACAGGTCAAGCACCGGTATAATATCTAGATCATGTGTGATGCAAACATGCTCTTTTGTATATAACAAAGGCGATAATCTTCTTTCTGTTTTTTTGATGTCTTTATTTAAATTAAATTGGAAACCAGTTTATTTATTTAATTTTTAGAAATTTCCAAAACATTGAAAACGAAAGTGAAAGTAAAATTTAAAATTATATGTGATGTAAGTTTTGTTTTATTGCGGTCAGACCAGCTGTCTACAAGTAAGTCAACATATTTCCAATGAATACTTAGTGTGTTCGTGATACCTCACTAACTTGTGTAGATACACTGTTATTTTATGTCAGTAGCTCGTATATATATATATGTTGTGTGGTGACAGTTGCGTAACGATCACTTATAATACAGTAAAATAACACCTCTGTGGCGGCACTAATCCGTCCTGTAATGCTAGATAAAAGAAATATTTGAAAATAACCTCGTATTCAAGTGGGATTTAATTATGCTATAAGTAAAGGCAAAGAGTTTGCTCGATAAAAGCCCTTAAACCCATTGTTCTATAAATAGATTCTACGAAACTGTATATGGAGTTCTTATGAGAGCTTGAATGTGCTAATTGTTGTGTTAACTGAAAATTTCCCATGTAATTTCGATTGCACTTTAATCGGACTTCTGTTAAAATGGCCCACAGTAAATGCTGTACGATTGTTTAGCTCCGGAAGCATTAATGGCGAACTTCCTGCCTTGTCGCCTCGTCTTACTACCACATCTAAACGATACCATACACGATAACATAACAACTATTTTAATAACATTTCTATTAAATGTTTTCTTCAGGTGGTAAGTATGGATTATGAAAAGTTCTTTTTACACAACCAATAATAGTTTCTGTGTGACGTTTCAATGACTAGTACGGTATGTACACTGTCAACTTCATCAGACAAATGACCAGTGAAGCGTATGCACACAAAGGTGTGAAATGTGTACGAGTTGACTATGCTCATCTGACAGCTCTGTGGTTTTGTTGGCACTATCCTAGTTTCCGGTGTATGGACGTGACATTATTTGAAGTTTACCTACTAGTATATTAATGCACATTATGGCTATTGTCGGCTTAATTTTCAGAAACACCTGAGTCATGTTCGTTTATGCGGAACAACCGGTTTATCTGTTTTCAAATGTGACATTTCGCATATAAATCCTATCGGACCTGCATACGTTTAAGCAGGCCTTTCAAAGCTTTGTCAAGTCTCGACTGAAAGCAGCATCCGATTCCTAGATACGACTTTAATTTTAATTCATAAACAAACAACTCTGGTCCAACCGGTCCAACTGTTTGGATCGCGATAAACGAAAGCGGCTTTGGTTTTATCCTTCTGTCATTTTTCAAAGGTTTTGATGTACATGCAATCTTTCCTTTGTTCATATGTGCGTTTGGCATATTTAAATCACCCTATAATAATAATAATAATAATAATAATAATAATAGACTTTATTTAAATTCGATAACACATTGAGTCAATGACTCGTCTCACATGTGGTCGACATAAAATGTACAATATTTACAACATGGATATGACATACACGTACATACATAAGAAATTAAGTAGCATATCACAGGTAATAAAACATTGTATTATCTTTAAAACAAAAAACAAAAAACAACAACAATCTCCTGCATCGTGTATCCAATAACAAAACTACGTAATACATATCACAGATATATTGGTATGTGATATCACACAGGCTTACAATAAAATATGTCACACGTGTATTGGAAAATAAAAAGTTGGCTAAATATCATGCAATGCATAAATTCTCATGCTGCATTTTAGAAGATTTAAGAAACGCATAATGCGTCTAATATACATACATGTCATTGTGACAAAGGGTAAAAAATTACAGAATATACGCTAATGTAGCGTGAGTTAATACCAAAGTGTTGATTAGGGCATTAGGAATAGTAATTAAGATAAATTCTAAAACTTCATTTAGATACACGTGTGTCATATTCCAGGTACTACAGCAGATAGATATTTCAGGAGGGAAAGGGGGTGCAGATTTTTAATTTTCTTTACACTTGTCTTTATAGATTACATTGAGATGTTTTTTGCACTCGAACTTAAAACTGTTTAGTGATTGGCATTTAGAGACAGTGGTTGGCAAATTGTTCCAGAGTGTCGGTCCATTATATTTAAAAGAGCTTTTGAATTTTTCCGTTTTGTGTTTGGGTACAACATATCTACCTGCCGCAGCTGACCTGGTTTGGATAGTATGGACATTGCTCACAAGAGTATTGCAGTCTAGGTAATTTGGACATAGCTTGTTTATTACTTTAAACATCAGAACACATTCGTTATATTCAACTCTGTACGTAAAAGGCAGCCATTTTAGTTTTACAAACAGCTGTGCACCGGGAACAGTATAGTCGGCATCTAGTATAATCCGCAGTGCTCGTTTTTGAATTCTTTCAAGTTTGTGTACCAGTGTCAGGACCTATTATAGTATACTTTATTGAATAACTAACACGGCGGCCTAAATCTTTATCTGAACGACCTGACAGGTGTTGAGTTTAATGCTTGTCAATTCTCCTAGTGACTCGATTTTCGGGGTCTGAATGTTATGATGGGTAATAAAAGCACATGTTTTGAGAAGCCATCTTGACCTGATGTTTGGTTAGTTGTGTCTAGGTAAAGAACATAACAATTGGCGACGAGGACAAACATGACAGCGACGTTTGGTAAAATCGACGCTTTTGAGGAGGCGGTCGGAACGTGGGAACACTATACAGAACGTCTGGGACATTATTTTGATGCGAATAACATCGGAAACACGGACGATGCAGACAAGGCAAAACGTAAGTCAATCCTATTGAGCGTTTGTGGCGGAAAAGTGTACAAGCTCATGTGCGATCTCCTTGTAACGGCTAAACCGGGCGATAAGACATATGATGAACTTGTGGCAATAGTACAGGGCCATTATCAGCCAAAACCATCAGAAATTGTTGAACGTTATAAATTCCATAACAGATTTCGAAGTGCGGGAGAAACTGTGTCAGATTATGTTGCGAGTTTGAGGCATTTAGCGGAACACTGTAACTATGGAGAAACCTTAGACAATATGTTGAGAGACAGAATAGTTTGCGGAATTAATGAAGATCGCATTCAACGTCGGTTGTTGTCGGAGAGTGAATTAACATTCAAAAAGGCATTTGACATCGCATATTCGATGGAATTAGCGAAGAAAAACGTAATAGACCTTCAACAATCTACTAGTTCAAAGGAACAAGTCAACAAGTTACAGTCTTCGCAAAGCGCGAAATTCAAAAACAATAAACAGTTCAACAAGGGACATCAAAGTTCTGGAAGTACTGATAGACATGACAAACCATGTTGGCGGTGTGGAGGGAAGCATAAACCTCACACATGCAGGTTTAAGGACTATGAATGTTACAAGTGTGGTCAAAAGGGACACATTAGGGATAAGTGCCCCAACAAGGAGGGGGATAAGTCAGGCAAGCTGTATAAAAGGCAAAGTGGTCAGTACAGCAAACAGCCTTCCAAGGTCCATATGATGGAGGATTCTGAGGACGAGATGTACATGATGTATCACATCAATCACATTGGGGAATCAAGGAAACCCTACCATGTCAAACTTCAAATAGGGGGTAAGAATGTGGACATGGAAATCGATACAGGCGCTGGAATTTCAGTGTTGAGTGAAACAACATTTCGCGAGTTATCTGAGGATACTGGACTCGAACTCAAACCCACCCAGGTCAAGTTACGCACATACACAGGGGCAAGTGTGCCTACTTTGGGCGAGTGCGTACTCACAGTGTGCTATCGTAACTTTACGAGAGAAATGTTGATTGTAATAGTCAAGGGTAACGGTCCGAATCTCATGGGACGCGACTGGCTAGGGAAAATAAAGTTGAACTGGGCTGAGATATTCAAGGTCAGTGAGGATCATGAACTACAGACAGTGCTTGATAAGCATAAGGCAGTCTTTGCAGGAGGACTGGGTAAAGTGAAAAACTTTAAAGCCAAGATATATGTGGATCAGAACGAGAAACCGCGTTATTTCAAGGCAAGACCAGTTCCATACGCATTGCGGGAAAAGATTGAAACGGAACTGGATAGACTGGTGCAGGAAGGCACCATTGAGCCTGTTGAAATGTCAGAGTGGGCGACACCTATCGTACCCATTGTCAAGTCGGATTCTACCATTCGTATCTGTGGTGATTACAAAGTAACTGTAAATCAAGTGAGTAAGTTGGACAACTACCCAATCCCTAAGACTGAAGATTTGTATGCTAGTCTTGGAGGTGGAGCTTTCTACTCGAAACTGGATTTGAGCCAGGCTTATCAGCAGTTAGAGTTGGACACCGAGTCGAAACCCTACACAACAATCAATACCCATAAGGGCCTGTTTTGCTATAATCGTCTACCATATGGGATTTCGTCAGCTCCCGGAATTTTCCAGAGGACAATGGAAAATATCCTTCAAGGTGTACCGCAAGTGATAGTTCGTGTCGACGACATCTTAGTCGCCGGGAGGGATCGACAGAGTCATATCAAGAACTTAGAACTGGTTTTGACCAAACTGGAGAATGCGGGTATACACTTGAAAAAGAGTAAATGCTTTTTCATGAAGGAAGAAGTTGAGTATTTGGGTCACAGGATCACTGGAGAGGGCATGCAACCGATTGAGGTCAAGGTTAGAGCCATCAAGGACGCTCCTGCGCCCAGGAACGTGAAAGAACTTCAGGCTTTCCTTGGTATGCTTAACTATTATGCGTGCTATTTACCCAACATAAGCACAGTGCTTGCACCACTTCACATGTTGTTAGCCAAGGAGACTGACTGGAAGTGGGGAAAACGCGAAGAAAATGCGTTCGTCAAGGCCAAGGAACTTTTACAGTCGGATACGGTACTCGTGCATTACGATCCGAAGAAGAAGCTAGTGTTGTCGTGTGATGCTTCTCCTTATGGCCTTGGTGCGGTTCTATCGCATGTCGAGCCAGACGGCAAGGAACGGCCTATCGCCTACGCGTCGCGTTCGCTGGCACCGGCTGAAAAGAACTACTCTCAATTGGATAAGGAGGGCGCAGCCCTTATCTTTGGTGTGAAAAAGTTTCACCAGTATTTATATGGAAGGACATTTACCATATATACAGATCACAAGCCGTTATTGGGGATTTTCAAGACTGATCGGGCCATTCCGACTATGGCATCTGCGCGCATCCAGAGGTGGGCGCTTCTACTCGCGGCATACGAGTATGACTTAATCTACCGTCCGGGAACATTGAATGCTAACGCCGATGGGCTTAGTCGATTACCTCTGAGTGAAACTGTAGATGAGGTACCAGTTCCAGGAGAAATGATTTTGATGATGGACACGCTTAACTCTTCGCCCGTAACCTTTGAGCAAGTGCAAACCTGGACAAAACAGGACCCTACGTTACAGGAAGTTATCGGCTGGGTGTACAGAGGTTGGGGAGAGAAGTGTCCGAATGAACGGTTAAAACCCTATCACAACCGGAGACATGAACTCAATCTGTATGAGGATGTTCTACTGTGGGGGAATCGCGTAGTAATCCCTACATTTGGACGAGCATCGTTGCTCGACGCCCTTCATGAAGGTCACCCAGGCATCGTCAAGATGAAAAGTTTAGCTCGAGGGTACGTCTGGTGGCCAGGCATTGACGCCGAAATCGAGGAGCGAGTGAAGTGTTGTGAGTCGTGTCAACTACAGGCTTCCATACCGGCAATGGCACCACTTCATTCATGGGACTGGCCATCGAGGCCATGGTCACGCGTACATGTGGACTACGCAGGTCCATTTCTGGGTCACATGTACCTGGTCGTCATTGACGCATACAGTAAGTGGGTTGAGATTTTGGTTACAAACTCATCCACATCGGCAATCACTATCGAGAGACTGCGGTGCGTGTTTGCGCAACATGGATTGCCAGAAATGTTAGTGTCGGACAACGGTCCGTGCTTCGTGAGTGAGGAATTCAGTGTTTTTATGTCAGAGAATGGCATAAAACATGTAAGGACTTCGCCACACCACCCCGCTTCAAACGGACTGGCAGAGCGGGCAGTGCGGGGATTCAAGGAGGGCATGAAGAAACAACAGAACACAGAGGGTAGTCTGGATAAAAAACTTTGTCGTTATCTCCTAGCGTATCGGTCAACACCGCAAACAACAACTGGATTGTCTCCAGCGGAACTCTTGTTCAACCGTAGAGTCAGGACAAAACTTGACTTAGTTCGTCCTGAAGTTCGTGAGCGTGTACAGCAACAACAGCTGTTGCAGAAGAAACAACATGATCAGCACACGAAGGAACGTCATTTCGCTGAGGGAGATTCCATATTCGCGAAGAACTTCTATGCTGGACCTAAGTGGAAATCGGGTGAAATCGTGTCGCGAAATGGACCCGTGTCCTATACCATAAAGGGGGAAAATGGAACAGTGGCTAGACGCCATGTAGACCACTTAAGGCAAAGACATTGTCTCCCTGTGAAAGAAGTCGACCCCGACAAAGACTTTTATGACACCATACCTACCTCTGTACCTGTATCTGTACCGGTTACTGAGCCAAACAACTCAGTTGGTAAACCAAAGCCTGCAGATAACACATCGACACCTGTACCATCAACAAAATCGTCGATTAGTCCAGGAGAACCTTCAAGGAGACCCCAAAGACCGCGTAAACCACCATCGTACTTGAAGGAGTATGTTCGTGATTAGCTAGCATTGAACACATTATTTTGAGTTTCTGTTAAGCTTTAAGTAAGGATGAACTGTGTTCTATGAACTTGGTAAACTTAAGTGTTCAGCGTTGGTATCGCGCATTATTGACTGTGTTTATTGATGCACTCTATCTGTGCAAGAGTTTTTGGTTCAAGAGTTAATAGTTCATTTCATTTCTAGTTATATGGGAAACTTTAATTTCAAGAGAACAGCATCTCACAATCGGTGAATGTCTTCACTGTGGGTGGAGGGATGTAGTGTTTCTGTACATTGTATGTACAAGTGGTTGTAAACGCTCCGTAGCGGATCGGTTACGGATGCTGACGGATGCTATGTCGGTAATTTGTATTACGTAATGTATTGCATGATGGGTAATAAAAGCACATGTTTTGAGAAGCCATCTTGACCTGATGTTTGGTTAGTTGTGTCTAGGTAAAGAACATAACAGTCATGTCGATATGTCTTATGTTCATCCAAGGCTGTCACGCAATCAGTTTTATCTAGGACTCTGGCCGATTTGATTTGGTATTCATATGTGGCTGAGTTTCTTGAAGGGCTTATCAGCAATGGTAACTTTCAGATATATCGACGTCATGCTATCTTAATTTGTAATTCATTTGACATGTAACTTGATTGGTCAATTGAAATAATTTGCGACGGTATAATCATGATATACTGTCGGAAAATTTCTCATTAGCATATATTTACCTTTGCGCTGCAACCCACTATATGAATATTACCAGCAGAAATGTCGAATGTCCCTTCGTCAAACGCTCAAATGATTACGGTTAATCATTGGCGCCAATTTTATTTAAATAGAGCTGTGCCACCAATGTCGTTAAAAGGACGACGAATTTAAAAAATGCAGTGAATAAATAAATAATGTAGGAACAAATAGATAAAAAAACATTTGTTCTATAGTAAAAATGGAATGAATGGCGTATTTAAAATGTTCATGCCGGTATGAAAAGAAACGACGTTCAATTCCTATATGAAGCCCGAATGGCGATTGTTAATGACGTCAATGACTCCGAAACGTCACGAAATTTATATTAATGACGTCAGAAACAACAGCCGGACCCAGAAAGGTGTCCGCCTCACTTTAATTGGTCCTGACGTCACCCATCAACGACAAAGAGACCCAGGTTTTGAAGAAAACGCACAAAATATCTGACAGTCGTAGTTTCTTTCAGTGACTATTTGATATGAATAAGAACGGGTATAACCCTACTGTACTTTGAGACGCTCCGCGTCGCGCGTAAAACTCAAAATACAGTAGGGTTATCCCCTAAATAACAACACAAATTGACCGTGTCAATCGTATATAACTTTCTGAACATTATATTCAGGACATTATAGATCCTTCTGCTCCAGCCTCTTTCCTCTATTAACAAGGAAAGCGTACTACTAAGCTGTACGATAAGAGGGATAGATTTGGAATTTTCGATCTTGATGTTTCCCTTTCTTGATTGAAACATATCTTCTCTTCAATCGAGGATGAAAACCATTTCACTTCCGTAGACTTTGAGGCATTATTCAACTATATAAAGGACATTGGTATGTTTTATAAACGTTGATTCCATTAACCTACAGGACTCTTTTTTGCGGCGTTATACATATCTCTTTCTATTGCAATCTTAACACAAAATGTTATCTAAGTTTTCATATGTGAACCCCTTGATTATTTCTTACTCTCTAAGCCTATCCTGGTGCTGATTTTATTGTTCCGACGTTAAATTATCATAGTAGTCGATGAGTCGTTCAATTCAAACAAACAAAATCTAACCTTGTGTTTACATATAGCGATTGATTCGTTTTTCAAGAGGCTTACTACAAATATTATAATAGCAATGACAAATGTCGACTGCTGACGGACAAACATACAACATAGGTTTTCAAAAGATGCAGGTTAAGGATGTACTCTTCTGAGGTTTAAATCACGTTCAAGTCTCGTTTTGATCTGGTGTAATGTTTTTTTTTTAATATTTAACAAATTATGATGAAGTTTATTAGCAAACACGCATCTGAAAAATATGTCAAAAAACTAGATGCCTGTTGTGTGTAGAACTATTTTTACAAGAATTCGGCGGCCATTTTGAAAATGTGTTGTAATGTGTATTTCTTGCGCTTCAAAAAAGGCCAAAATTTCATCATTTTTGACACTAGATTGATCACTTAAATTGTGATTGTGTCGCCATTTTTAATTGTAGCAGGTTCAGTTTTGCTGTACAACTTTATAATTTTTAATATGATGAAAATAATATGCAACAGACTGGAAAATTATACATTATTGATATTTTTTTACATATTATTTAGTGTAACTGAAGCACTTTTGATTTTTGACCCCGAAAAAGGTAAAAAAATACACAAATGAAATGGGATGTTTTAGAAAGAGAAACACATTTTCATTTAATTTAATAGCAGAACTTTTTATATCAAGCGTTTAATCTGCAAAAAAATGGTAAAAAAATAGTATTTTTTCATAAAAAATAGGGAGTAGCGGTAACTATAATCGGCTTTCTGAGTTAAAAGAAATTTAACTTCCATACTTTCAAAGAAAATAATATTTTCATCAATTCTACAAACATTCATACATATCTAATAACACACTTGGAAGAAATTGTATGGATTTGTTCTACAAATGGTCAAAACCCCAAATCACCTAAAATCACATGTTGTGTTAAATTGGGATCTTTGACCGATCATATGGTTTTTTTTGCATTTCTACTATGCCATTAACTCTATTTTCCAAATCCAAAAATCCATATTAGAAAAAGGTTTAATACAGGAATTTGTTGGGTGGTCGCAGTCAATATCTCATTGGTGAACTCATGTAAGTTTGTCTTTTTGTGATGTGAAAGTCGATGTTTTTTATTAGCTATCCTGGTCCGAAGGACCATAGTGAGCTTATGCCGTGGCGGAGCGTCCGTCGTCCGTCGTCAACGTTTTCTTTAAAACCTTTCTCCTCCTAAACTCCTAAGAGGATTTCAACCAAATTTGGTCTGAAGCATCACTAAGGGAGGGCAATCATTTCTTAAATAAATAAGGCTGGTTCGATCTCTGAGGTCAGGGGGCGGGGCCCTTAAGGGGAACTTAGCTAAATTTGCTTTAAAACGCATCTCCTCCTAAACACCAGAGAGGATTTCAACCAAATTTAGTCTGAAGCATCACTAGGGGAGGGCAATCATTTCTTAAATAAATGAGGTTGGTTCGACTCCTGAGGCCAGGGGGTGGGGCCCTGAAGGGACCGGGGTAGTGAAAAATTGGTTTCTAGGTTAATTAAAGCTTTAATATAGTTGAATGAAAATTAAAGTATTGTCTAATTACACCCTGTAATATGACATATTACTTATTTCAAAATCTGTTAACATGGCAACTCAATGGAGGCCCCTGATTAGTTGAAAGTCAGATATTGAGGTCCCAGTTGGGTTAGAACATAGATCTTGTCTGGTTTTGAGGAAATTTCATATAAAGATGCACTAATGCATTCAGTTGTAATGACTTATGTATAAAACCAGGTGAGTGATACAGGTCCAATGGACCTGTTGTTATATTCACTATTTTGTCTTGCTGTTTCGTTGTCACAACCCCGGTTCCCGCTATGAGGCGACAACTTGGTTTTGACCTAGATTCCCGTGGCGGAGGTCGTCGATGCTATTTCGTTGTGTAAAATGACTGTCGATGATATTTCGTTGTGTAATATGACGGTCGATGCGTTTGATTATGTTAATTAGTGGTTGTTGTTTCGCTGTCAATACCCCGGTTCCCGCTAAGAGGACGTGACATTACTTGGTTCTCAATGAAAATATTTCCTTTGTTCACATTTGTTGCCTTAGATTTTATCGATGTTTGAGTTCAAGTTAAAGTTCTGTTGACTATTTTCTATCGTGTTAATAAACTCTAGCCGTTGAGAAGTTCCTTTATTTTATTCATACCCAATTTAATTCAAATTACATATATTTTCAGTTGTTTTTGTTCCTTTTAAGGTTCATGTCGTTTACTCCAAGCAAAATACGTAACAATATATTAAATCCAAAATTATCTTTTCTGACCGTTCATTGTACACGGATGTTCATTTAATCAGGTGTGTATTGGGTGATCCGGTTAATTCTTCGATATCATGATGACATTGACGCGCTAAAAACGCCTTTTCCACACAAGTGTAAATAATTAATACAATAGGTAACGACCCCTCCGCACCTGAGTGGATGTTTCTATCCTGTTAATGATGCGGTGAGCGCGTGTGATAACCACGCTTTCAATTGTGATGATATGTTATAGTAGATCTTTATATCATGTAATTTGAATTGTATATCCCCATTGTCGTAGCCGAATCTCCAGGTACCTTAAGGTCATAGGAGTGTATTGCTAAACGGAAACAGGAAGTACATCCCTAGTTGAAAATCCAATGTAGGAAGACAGTATCACAACTTCCGCATAATCTAATGTTTAATATTAAAGTGATGAATATTGTATGCTTATTATTGATAGAACAGTGTGTTATTTCAATATTAAAGTATTGCAAAGCAATCCAGGCATTAATTCAGTTGTGTTTTAATCAATGAGTCAAATGTGTCCATTTTTCTGTACTTCAGAAACCGGCTACCTATTTCACTACTGTGAAGTTTTTCAAGAACGATAACTCTTGCATGCAATTACTATGTGTATATGGTTTAGTTATAAAATGTCAATCTTTAATCGTCTATAGATAATTCATTTTACACAATTTCAGCATTTATGAAATTGATATACATTAATGCAATACTAATCTATGTTAGTATCATTTTTATTGACATTATTTTGCACACAATTGTGTGTTTCATTTTTTTTTTTCAAAATTCACTCCTTTTTACATAAATTTCCTTTTAAAATCCTTAAAATTCTGACAATCTATATTTTTTTTGTGGCAGAAAATTTTCTTTACTTCGAAGCAATATATCTACAAAATTTGAATAAATTCTACTGAGAAATGGCGACACAATCCTATTACCTTAAGCTGTTGTCACCTATTACCAAGTATGACGTGGGTTGATTATACGTGTATATTGGTGATGACGGTTAAAAATTAAAAATGGAATAACCATCGATGCCATTAACAATGTACTTCCTTTAACTTGTTGACAACATTGAATTAAATTTGCACGGACGACGTGCTGATGAAACCTCCAAGCTGTTAAAACAAATATGCAATACCTTGGTACAATGTTAACACGTCTGTGTGATCAATAACCTGTCAATTACAGTCAGCCAGACATCCTAAATGAATAAGAGTGCAAAGCACGCCTTTATTAATCAAATATTGACTTAATAATCAAAACTCAATTATTTGAGAGGCAACAGTTAAAAGAATATATAGGTTTGTCTGTGTAGTACGATTATCAGTGACTGTCACCAATTACATGTTTACATGTCGTCGCCCTAGCAGGAATGTT